TTGTATGTTTTAAAAATCTTTAAATTCGAAAACAAATTGTAGGTTACTAGGCAAAAAAACTATCCTATATCTTAAGTTGGACCAAACTGCATACGGTGTGCAAATTTGATTAAATTGGTTAGGAGTCCATCGCGGACGTGCACGTATTATATATATATATATATATATATTAAATAAACAACACCAAATGTTAGTCGACGCATATACATTTTGGTTCTTGTATGATTCAAAGATAGACATTTATAGCCTCAGTTGTAAGAGGCTTATTGCTGACCGTGATTTGCTTGAAACCAATCTTGGCAGCCTCGAGCACAGACACATATTTGCTAACCTCTAGGTATTTTTTATACAAAATAAGGGTGACAAACTAGGACATAGTCCAGCTGATTGTATGTGGATGCGGTGGCCCACAGAGATCTACATTTATCCTTGGCTAAGATTAAAAATGCAGATGCGTTGTCACCCCTGAGGATTAAGATGGAAATCCTTGTTTCCAGTAAAAAGGGTCTTTGGTTCCACTATACTCACTATACAAGGCACAACATCATTAGGCTGCATTTCATGCTGTTATGCTGTCTAACCGACCAATTCGTGCTAATTCCATGATTACAGCTGCAGAATGGCTCTACCACGTATACTATAGGATGCATTTAGAAGTGTTCGCAGGAATTACATGCCTCGATTCCTACCTCACCTTTTCACCGTCGGACAACCGGACGGTCGGCTGGCTTTCACCCCTTTGTGATCAATACTCCACGCAATCGAACCATACTGTTTCTTTTGTCTCTCGTAATGCGTTCAGATAGTGAGAGGAATAAGTTTTCAGCATCTGTCATATAAAGATATATAATTAAATATGTGCGTGCTTTAAAGGCAATATTTAGGGCTCAATCAGCATTTACCATCATGTAGATTGTGGTCAAGAACTGGTTTACGAGAGTTACTTCTTAGAAAATCAAAAACTGAACAAACTAGCAAGTTACCAATTAGTTTAATTATATATAAAATTAATGGGTTTGGATGTCTTTTAAATTATTTTTAATCAATTTTAACAAATAAGCCTTCGTCACTTATTCAGTCTAATGCCGCCATATTGGCTTGCTAGTTCCCTAATTACAATAACATTTGAAATATAAGTACTTTTTTATTTGAGTGATTAATTATGTGAATATTACTTGTAAAATATTTATTATTAGTATTATTTTTATAATTCCAAAACGAACGAACAAATTGGAATTAAAATTGAGTCTGAACTATTTTTATGCAGGTAATACCATTATATAGATGATAAAAGAACATCACAGTGACAATTAACCGTTTAGAAACTTGTCATAAAAAGAAATATTTATACTTAATAATCTAACAATACTTAATAATGTAACATATATCTATTCAAAATAGTAACCATTTACATCAATACATCGCTGCATCCGAGGGAACCACTGAGAAAAGCACTTTGCCAACTCGTCCTACTGCTTCCTCGGCATCCATAAAACGTTTTCCTCAAAGATTTTCTTATATTTTTGCGAGACAAGGGCTACAGGTCGAGTCTGACGTCGCCATGTAGTCGATTATTTGCTTGGCGGTGTATGACGAGGCGTTGTCGTGATGAAGGAAGATCCTATTGCGAGGTGGTTTTACTCGAACTTTTTCCAAGTTAAGTGGTAAACAATTGTTAGTATACTATTCTGCAGTAACTGTTTTTCGATCCTCTAAAACAATTGTTGCATAGTGACGTGTCCTTCTGAAGAACGAGGGTACCATCATTTTTCCCACGCTTCTACACTTTAGTTGGCAACTCCTCGGAAGGAAACACGCAGACAGCAGACTCTCTCTTAGTTTCAGGATCATAACAATAAATCCAGATTTTGTCACCCGTAAGTATGTCGAACACAAGACTTCAGTCACCTCCGTTAATTCTTTGAACCATTTCACGACACCAATCAACACGACGGAGTTTTTGGACCTTTGTCAAATTATGAGGTATCCACCAGGCACACAACTTCCTGACCGCTAGATGTTCATGGAGAATTTTGTGCACTTGACTCATACCGATGCCTAGCTTGTCCGAATCTGCTGATAAGTCCCCTTTTATCAGTCTCTATAATACGCCGCACAACACTGATGTTATCTTCAGTCGTCGCCGTTGAAGGCTGTCCCTCACGAATATCATCGATGAGATTAGTGCGACCACGTTTATAGTCATTAAGCCAGATGTAAACAGTGGCACGAGATGGGACTTCATCGTGAAAGGCCAATCGAAGTTTATCATAACTTTGACATCGAGAGTCATAAAATATCTTTGTACGAAAATTTTCACGCGGTAAATTCATGCTCTCGTGACACAGACACTTTTCAATTTGCCGCCGAATCGTAAACAAATTGGCAAAGAGTTACATTTCCAAAATTTGAACTAATTTTTTTATTATATCGTTTACAAGTTGCCAGTTCTAAAAACTTGAAGTGTCGCCCTCGTATAATGAGTAAAAAATGTATAAAACTTGTAGTTTTATACATTTTTTACTCATTTGTTATATCGTCATACGTTCACCATCTAAACTCAGTAACAATAAGCTGGGATTCAAGCTAGAATATTTTGGAATGAAGTCACGCATCAGTTCATCAGTTCGTTATCTAGAATTATATTTTAAATAATCAAAAATTTGGAATAGAATGCAATACAATGCAGCTGACATATTTTTGATAAAATTACAAATTAAAAGATGACTCTGTTCAATTTTATCATCACATACTAACTACTAAACGCATATACCTTTTATTTTTTCCGGACCTGAAATAACATAATTGGACTTATGTAGGTCTTCGCTGAGATTCCGAGTGCAAAAAATACTTTATATAAATATAAGAGTATACATACCAAAACAAACGTGATACCCATACTGTTACTTTAAATAAAATTATATTGTAACAAAACTTGCGTACGTTTTAAGCTTTTCAAGTTTTTTTGAGAAATTTCTTATTTTAATTAGGTATAAAATAATATCAAAACTTATAATGCTTTTACCTTATTAAAAATATATAAACTGAAAATTAAATATATTTTGCATCCCGAAATTTCAATACAGCCCATAATAGTCCACGTCTGGACATAGGCCTACCCAATAGGTCGCCTCATACGGGGGATTCAGCTTAGTTGCCAAGCTTGGCGGGTATGTTGGTAACCATAGTGTATTTAATTATTTCTGTTTTAGAGTTTTATCGGGAATATGCTGCTACCCCATTGAGCTATTATGTATTACGTACTAGAGGCGACACTGCATTCAGCTACTCTGTTCCACTCAACTGAGGTGCATACACCGCACTTTAATCAGTCACTCACTAGGCGCTTATACAGTTGTCACGTATTGTGTTGATTTAAAAAAAATATCTCTTGATAAAAATATGCCTTCGTGTGTACTTAGATATTGCACAAATAATTCAAGAAATCTGAGTGAAAACCAAGGAATTACTTTTCATCGGTTAATAAGATACTTAGTCAATAAAATCGTATTATGTATTAATAATAAAACAAATTATTCCTAAGAAGCCATCTTGTGTCATGGAATATAGATTATGAAATGAATATGTTCAGATGCGACATTTCTGTGGGTACTTAAGTATAGGACGAATATATTATTATACATATTTTTTTTGTAGAAACGTATGTGTTATTATAATTTGACAAAATTTTTCATGTTTAAATCTAAAATCTGCTTATTATTATTTTATTTTATTTTTAGGTTTCCACATCAAAGTCAAAGTGGTATGAATTTGTCCATTTTTTAACTCTCGCGTGCCCAGCATTTATGAACGACTTTTATTCTAATTTAAATATTTGTAATTTAAATGTTATGTTAATAAGTTTTGTTAAACATACATTTTCTTAGTATGTTTTTTATATTTGACTTAATTAAATCACTTTTAAAATATTCGGATAAAAATATCATTAAAATGTAATTGTGATATAATATTATATTAAATAAGCAAATATAATATACAAATTTAAATATTGTTCTCGATATAATTTACCTATTTAACAATACAATTTACCTACGGGTCATTCTACCTATGTTTATTCTATGATAAAAAAACAACCGCGCGAACACAGAGTAGCGCACATTTTTGTTTGAGATAGCTGTTCTAGTACGTAAGTACATATTACTTCAATGTGCTACCCACATATCTTCTGTTATAGATTTCCTCCATCAGGTATTACGATATCCACGGGATTATTGCATTCTATTACGAAGGCACAGCGTTTGCGTAAATTCGTGAAACGACATGTGTCGTGCCACAAATATTATTTTTAAAAAGCACGAATGCCTTATGTTTTTTGGTTTGCTCGCGTATTGATATTTTAAGATGAACACTAATCCACTGGCATGTCACGGCTCATAATAATTGTTTTCATATAATTCAAAACAAAATATTGTTATATTCTTTATACGAAATAATGTTTTTACATACCATCGAAAGCAATTCTGATACGCTATTCAAATGTGACAGTCTTTATAGGGCTTTAAAAGTTGTCGTATTGAAGGAATGTATTATATGTAGAAACACTTTTATACATTGGATTACATATACGCATGTAGATATAAAAGAGTATTTATTACGCAATTAAATAATTTTAGCATTTGTAGGAATTCAAAAAATCAAATATAAAATATTACAATGCTTTATGAATGTATGGAATTGCATTCGCTTACCGAGTCAACATATTATGATTATAAACGAGCCATAATAAGTCATATAATACGTAATTATATTTGCTACGCTATGTAGCCACTAAATAAAATAAACATTCCGCATTATGTATTAAACTAACATTAGCCTTTTTTAAATAAACACTTACATAGTACTAATAAAATAATATGCACTGGTTTATTGTCAGCAAAGAATAACAATAAAAACCGGGAAAAAATTTAAAATTTCTTTTTAATATAGAATAAAACTACTTATAACAATTAACTATCGTCGACAAGGGTCAAAACAAATCATCAATGATGATGTTGAACGGGAACTGCGTGGGTAGCATGACCCTCACGATGTACAACAGCGTTGAATCTGAAATAATCAATGAGCAACACATGAATAAGTTATAATTCTCATATACTAAACAAATGGAAGTCGACTAGTGGCACCTGAAGTTAAATTTATCTTAGTTTTCGTATTCATTCTATTTAAAATATATATACCTACATAACGTGACGAAAGTAATAACTACATTTGTCGTTCGTTATGCGTTCTCCAAAGCAGAGGAATATTTTTGTATTTCCATCCAATTACAACAAAAACCTACTACACCGGCAAGTAGGTTTCACAAAGCGAAGCTTTACCGTGTTTAGCTACTTCAAAAGTTACAATTAGGTGGAATAGAATTTTCAGACTAATTGTAGGTTACAATTTTAACATAGTAAATACACTATTTACAACAATAATAATAAAAAACAAACTGTAGAAGCACAGCGGTTTAATCACTCAGGTTTTTCTGTAAAGGGTAATATTATATCCTTATTTAAAAGAATGATATGCGTCGATATTGAATAAATTTTTATGGTACACTTACTTAATTTTTTTACCATGAATTTTGTTTTTCCTATAAGAAGTAAAGTTTGGGGACTGGTAAAATAATTATAATTTGTTTTTGTACAAAGTATTTGAGTTACTAACCCGTTATGCGCGTCAGCGGTGTATTCAACAGTTCTGACAGTGCCGTCGGACTCGTGCAAGCTGTAGGAACCGTGCACAGCATCACCCTCTCGGCTCTCGTGCTGGGACTTGATGTCACCCGTGTGCGAGTCGGCTACAGAGTACTCAAACGAATAGTGTGGGGGTGCCTGGAATGTGATTATATGTATGAATAATTTGGTTAAGGGTACCAATTGCGAAATTAGTCGGGAGTTCAAATCTACCATTCAACAACGATCAAAAACCAATTTTAGCACAAGCATTTTTCATATTAGTTGAAGTGATTAACTGGAATGAGATTGATAGTTATATAGTTGTTATCTTACATAGTAGTCCTGGTTATGGTCGTTGTGTTCTGCGTATTGTGCGGGCTGGTGGTGCAAGACCACAGCGGGCGCTCTGTGAGCAGTTTGGCCGTGGCTCTGATGCAGTACTATGTTCTGAGACGACTGCGCGTGGCCATGTCCATGTTCATAACCACTATTGTATTGTCCGACAGCTACGGAAAGGACAGCGGCGGCGATAGCAATCTAAAAAAACGTGTTAATGCTATTTTGTTATAGAGTATACATAATAAGAACGCACAAAAAGTACGATTATACTTTGTAATATAGGCTTTTAGTATAATAATGTCCTTCAGACCGAATTCCGATGAAGTCGTCCAGTGTCAAAGTGACTAAGAATCTGTACTGGGCACGATTATAGAGCAGGTGTGTGTGCCAAAGCAGTTGCACTATCTATTCCCCCGTTCTCACAGTCCGATGAACGGCAATCCGACACGACTGGAGAGATAAGGTGCAGGAGGATTCCCGTCTATAAGGTACATCCTTATAGACACGGTCAAATTCTTGATTTCTGGCTGCTACTGAGATTTTCTTGACAAAATCATCCAATAAATAATTAACCGTTATAATCGAACCCGGGGCCACATGATGAACATTTGCGCTGACAATCACTACACCAACGAGGCAGTCACGGCTTAAAGAAACAACTCTTTGGCTTAAAGTATACGTCTTATACTTTACTAATAGTAATGTTTATAAGTTTAATCAACATATGTATCGAACTTGAATTTAAAAAAGTATTTGAGAGATCCATGAAACATATCATGTCCTATGATGAGAATACTTTGCTTTTCCTAACACAAATTTTCTTATAAAACGTTAAAAAAAATTTTATTTCTTATTTTAATTTTATAAAAAAATATATTGTACCTTAGTATACATTTTTAGTCGTTAATTATTACAATAGCAAATTAACACTGATAATTTATTTGTATTTTTTCTCCTTTTTATATTCTCGACTGTTGTAAAGCGGTTTAATTGTGCAAACATTTCTTTACCTAAAACAAGTTTATTTCATATGGTTACTACTATCACTTATTTTATGTAAACCTTAACCATGCACAAAGAATCTTAATTATTTTAATAATATAAAATATTTTGTCTGGAATGAAACTAGTTTTTTCTTTACAGATTTTATGATTATATATTTTTTTTATTTCCCACGTTTCGAGAGTTTTGGTCATCCCTGGTCAGAGCACAATGGAATAGTATATTCTTGATTAACACCATAGGTCATACTGTGTATAGAAAAAAGACCCATACAAACCGATACTTAAATAGTGAATCTCACCATCATCCTTCACAGTTAGCTACCGTGGGCAAATCTTTGTTACAGAGAGCACGAGGGATCTGTGACAGCAAACACCTGGCCGCTGAGCTTCAGCACGTCAAACAGGTTCTGCACGACAACAAGCTTCGGGTCCCGCGCCTCCGTCAAGTGAACGAGTGAAGCCGGCCACAGTCGAGCGTGTGCCTGCTGTACTACCAGATGTCAGAGGTGTCACAGACAAGATTGGCTACATCTTGAAGCGAGCTTCTATTAGAACATTCTACAAGCCGCCGAAGAAGGTTGGTCAGTTCTTACCATCCGTCAAGTGTCATATTCCTCTACAAGATGCAGGAGTGTACAAGCTTGATTGTGATTGTGGTCTCTCATATATAGGGCAAACAAAGAGATCAATAGAACCCGCGTAAAGGAACACATAGCTGACGTGAAGCATCAGCGTTCCGGGAAGTCTGCAGTTTGCGATCATATCCTAGATGGCAATTACATCAGATTTCATGACCCTTCACGAAAGAACATCGATTCCTACCAAGGATGATACGTGAGGCTATTGAAATTAAAAAAACATCCTAATTTCAATAGAGAAGGAGGCTGGGTACTACCACCTGCTTGGGATCCTATAATTAATAAAATTAAAACTAAACCCAAGCATACCACTGCAAGACTTCAAAACACAGTTAGTTCATTCTGCGTAGATCGGACCAAAGACAATAATTAAAAGCTGAAGGGACTCCGGGTTAACTTTGACATCGGGACGTCAGTCACCTCAGTCCCCCGTGACCATGCGTGCTGGAAAGCACCCGAAACGTCGGGTATTAAAAATAATATAAATAAAACGCGATAAAATCCGTAAAAGTAGTTTTAATCAATGTATGGTGTTCGCGTAAATATAAGAAATCATTAGTATATTCTTATTAGTTTGTTCCCATCTCTATTTATAAATTTCAACTACTTTTTTATAATTTCTTGTATTTATACTCTTTATTTCTCATTTATTTTGCTAAACTTATGCTCTTGAAATTACATCTACAGCTAAGAAATATATTAGTTAAAAAGAAACATTACAGGATACATTTCGGAATGTGCGCAGCAATTACATGTCTCAATTCCCCCATCCTATTTCTGCGATCCGCTGGCCTTGATCCGTTTCTTGTCAATATTTCACGCATTTGTTTGAAGCGGTGCTTCGTCTTCCATAATACGTACAGCAAAGGAATGGAATAATTTTCTCGTGTCTGGCTTTCCAATTCCCGATTACAGTATGGGTTGTCTTCCAGGCAAGAGTGAAGACTAATGTTACCCTAATCCATCTTATTTACTAGGCTTTATCACTACCCAGAATATTTAGTCAAGCACTCGCCATACCTATGTAAAAAAATACAGTCACAATTTGGCATTAGCTGAGATGTAGAATCTACAGCATGTTCTTTTGTTTAACTAAGTTTCGTGTTTATTATCTAGAAATTATAAATAATCAGAAAATATAGAGTACTAGCCATACTTCCTTGCTTCGCACGGGAGATTACTGGATCTTGATGACAGCGCCACCTGCCGCGTCCGATTGTGAATATATATCATACAGGGATGCACTCAGACAGACACAAAAAATTTGATCAAAATCAGTCCAGCCATTGTTGAGTTTCTGCGAGACTAACGGACATCAATCGATTTTTATATTCTTATATATAATACAATTTGATCTTACTATTAAGAGATAAAACAATGCAATTCAGTAGACATCATAGTGATAAAGTTGAAAGTTAAGACCACCACTGTAACATATTAAATGATTTCACTAGTTATAAATATCTCGTTGTATCAAATAATTAATTAAAAATTCATCACAATATTTATATTTTGAAATACTGTTTTATTTATACACATTAATGATTTACTTACAATATGACATTAAATCTAATTAATCGTTTAGTATATCGTACATAAATCATTATACCACTTAACTATTATCTATTTTCCAATTTTGTCGCGAAACTCATATGGCTATACCTTCTTAGAGATACAATTTTATGGGAGGATTTTTTTTACAGATTATTAATTTAACTAAGTCCATTATAGTAGGACTACTGAGAATAATTCAAGAATCGACTATGGCACCGTAAGAATATAAAGTGCAAGTGTAGTAAGGATTTTATTATACATACACAGTAGTCTTAGCGATTTTCATAATGCCTGGCATTATGTACGGGCTGATGCCGGAGGATGACAGCTGGCGCTCTGTGTATAGCAATATAACTACGTGTGTAGCCACCGATTTGATGCAGCAAGTGATGATCACAAAGTTAAGTGTGATGAATGAGCCCGACCTTGACTATATTCACAGCCGGAGTACTGCCACTGACCAGTGACCAGGAAAACTAAAGCTTCAGCTATTCCTCAAAAACAATTTACTCGTACTTTTTATATGATATTGAACTTGTAATTTTTTTTGAGTACGTAGTTGTATGTTTTTACTTTGTTTTAAAATTGCCCTTGTTCTACGTTATTATTTATATTAATGTCTATTTCTTCTTTAATTTTATATTTTAAGGAAGTTTGAATATACAAATCAAGTGTGACGAATACGACAAATTCTTAATTTAATATTAGAAATTAGTACACACACAGGTGAATTGCTTTTACCGAATTTATATAATAAAATAAATCTCTTTATGTTTTTTTTCCTCAAAATATTACATTTTATCAATTGTTTGCACAATATTAAAATTTATAATATTTCTTACCATACTAAAAAAATTAAAACTAAATAATTGAAACTTAACCCCCGCACTACGTAACTTATTTGTTTTTGTTTATTTTTAATAGCGTATATAACATAAGTAAGTCGTATTTAGTTGTCTTGTTTGATTAGTTGATCACAAACTTATAAACTGTGTAACATATTAAAATACGGCTAACAATAATTTTACACAACATCAGACGCTTGTTAAAAAAGACTTAATAATGTTGTCGGTGACTGCTAATAAAAACGGAATAAATGCGTTTTAAAAAAATAGTGAATAACATTTTAGCAGAATAATAATTAACTGCACAATGCTGCAAAAAATAAAAACAACATTACAACTGAGGAAATGGACATTTGTAACGAATTTCAAACATGGAAGTCCACAGTTGCGTTATCACTCCTGAAGACAAAGATAAAAAGTAATTATAACAGATGTTTTACTTTTCAACCTACTCATAAAAGTCGGTGCACTATTTGACCGTCGCAGAAATACGTAAGAGATTGATACTAGTACAAATGGACACTTAGGAAGGAAAAGAACATTCATTTCTTGTTACCTTGCCTTCAAAGCACTCACTTCTCCTGTAAAATACTCATGCGACAGATTATGTTCGAACACATTGTTATAAACGATAAGAACTTAGAAAGAAAAATAATATCTTCTCGATATCTCTTCATATCCAGTAGCTCTAAAAGTAATAACTTATGCTTTGAAATACTCAACTCAGTACTGAGGCTTATTACCTATTATTTAAAAAGAGTAGGGATTTTCAGATAACATGAGCGGCCAAGCAGTTTTTACAGGCCATTTTTTACATCTGGAGGTAAAGGGTGACACGCAATAAGCTTTGTCACCAAGCTCGTTCCTGGGCATTGCTATGAGATTTTGTAAGCTTTTCTCATATTTGTCTCTTACGACAGTTATGGCGGTTATGAATATTACTTCCTTTCTTTGTTTGAAATAATATACAAAATAAATTAAATTAACTTAATATAAATATACATGAACCTAATTTTTACCTATCCTTCTTTCTGCTCAGTATTATTCAAATTTCTAGAATGGAGAAAAAAGTTACGATATCGTTTTAGTGTCGCTTAAACGCTTTTCATGGAGTGTCTTTTATATATTAGATTGCTATTATTTTATATAATGTAAATAATTTATATTTGCATTAGAGATGGGCCAAATATATACATTTCATATTCGATATTCAGCATATTCGGCAGTTTTACCGAATATTCGTATTCGGCTCGCTAAATCACCGAACATTCGTTAAAGTAGTACTCAAAGTCTCCACGGTATTGAAATGTACGAATTGAATAATGCCATGTCTTTCATAATTTTACTGCTGAAAGTATGTTTTATTTGTGGGTTAAATCTACTTGTTTGGTTTTTACGGCCCTGTAGATTTATTTCCAGTTATAGCAAATAGAAAGCTTGATAAAATGCTTTTGTAATTATTTAACTTTACTGCGGTTATCAGTTTTTCTAGAATAAGTACAAATAGTAGATCTCCATGTTATATAATAATCAATTTTCACTAATAATAACACAACAAAATATCTTTTTTTCTCACAAAAATAGTCAAAATAAAGTACTGGACGAATTGCCGGAACATGCCGGCAATTCCATCAGTACTAGATGATGTAATGACATATCAGGTGTGATGGGGGAGGGCACTTAGTTTGACACATCTTCAATATATCGCCAATTTAGTCGATAAACTTTCGTCTAGAGCTCCCCTTGCCAACTCTACTCTTGCGACACATATATTTGTTTTGTTGCTCTTTCCTCATTCATTCTTTCTACATAACCTAACGACTGAAGAATTCCTTTCTAATAATGGTCACAAGATTATCTGCAAATCTTAAATTTTTCTTATCACACAATTTCTCACCCTGTCATTTAGATTCAGCTCTAATACACTCGTTAACGACGCCTTTTTTTCAGTATTTATTCTAATCTTGTGCTTCTTTTGCCACACACAACTTTCACTAACGTACATAAATTTAGAGACTAACACAGTATTGGGAATTGCCATAAGTGCCTTTATTGGCAGATTCTGACCTGCCACAATAAAGCGAAGAGTTTCATTAAATCTGTGTCCTACGTTCAGACATCATTTTTTGTCCTTGTCATATCTACCAACACTAAACACACATCCCAAAACACAAACGCATCTACTTGCTCGAACAACTCCCCTTCTATTCAGCTTCCCAGCCACTAAATTAAATAATATTCCGCGTTATCAAGTACAGTATATTTTGCCCTTCTTTTTTTAAAACACATACATAGCATGTTATTGTAGTTTATCAGAAAATTTTTGTTGTCTTAGAAATAACAATTAAAATCGGGAATATTTATAAAATATCTTTATTATAGATAAAAAAAAACTACTTATAATAATTTATATACGATAACAAGAGTCAAAAAAAAATGATCAATGATGATGCTGAACGGGAACAGCGTGGGTAGCGTGGCCCTCACGGTGCACAACAGCGTTGAATCTGAAAAATCAATGAGCAACACATGAATCATCTTACATCACAGCTTAATTTAAAATCCCGATGTAAATGTGTTCATAATTTTACTTCTTCTTAACCCGATTTTGATGAAATTTTAATATATACTTTTACTTTATACATACTTTTTCAATCTTGTACAAATTTTATAAAGAAAGGTTTAAAACATTTTTTCAACAATTTGGTTTTTCGTATTAGTTATGGACGTCATGGACCGATAAATAATTATAATTGGTTTTTATTCCAAGTATCTGAATAACTTACCCGTTATGAGTGTCAGCGGTGTATTCAACAGTTCTGACAGTGCCGTCGGACTCGTGCAAGCTGTAGGCACCGTGCACAGCATCACCCTCTCGGCTCTCGTGCTGGGACTTGATGTCACCCGTGTGCGAGTCGGCTACAGAGTACTCAAACGAATAGTGTGGGGGCGCCTGAAATGTGGTTTTATATGTGAATAATTTGATTAAGGGTACCAACTGTTTTTTTCGAAAAACTATTTTTATACATATACCTAAATATATAAATTACGTGTCACGTTGTTTGTCCGCGATGAACTCCAAAACCGCTTAACCGATTTAAATCAAATTTGCACACCGTGTGCAGTTTGGTCCAACTTGAGAGATAGAATAGTTTTTTTGCAAATGAGTGACCCAAATTTTTTTTGCGAATTCAAGGATTTTCAATAAGACATGACAAAGGGTCGTCAAAAAGGGCAAAACAACGTATGTCTGGCCTATATATATACATATATATATATATATATATTTTATTATATCATTATATCTTACATAGTAGTCCTCGTGATGGTCGTTGTGTTCTGCGTAGTGTGCAGGCTGGTGGCGCAAGACTACAGCGGGCGCTCTATGAGCAGTTTGGTTTTTTTTTTTTTTTTTTTTTTTTTGTTTGTTCTGAGGCTTCGTGGCTCTGATGCAGTACTATGTTCTGAGACGACTGCGCGTGGCCATGTCCATGTCCATAACCATTGCTGTATTGTCCGACAGCTACGGAAAGGACAGCGGCGGCGATTACAATCTAGGAAAACGTGTTAATGCTACTTTAATTTAGAGTATACATAATAAGAACGTACAAAAATACTACTATACTTTGTAATATAGGCTTTTAGTATAATAATGTCCTCCAGACCGAATTTCCATGAAGTCGTCCAGTGTCAACGGGGACTTCTTACGAATCTGATACGATACGATCTTACGAATCTGTGATGGACACGATTATAGGGCACGAGTGTGTGCCAAAGCAGTTGCACTATCTATTCCCCCGTTCTCATAGTGCGATGAACGGCAATCCGACACGAATGGAGAGATAAGTGCAGGACGATTCCTATCCGTAAGGATGTAACACTGTCAAGTTCTTGATTTCTGGCTGCTACCGAGAATTTCTCGACAAAAGCATCCAATAAATAATTAACCGTTATAATTGAACCCCAACAACTGACTCCATTACTCCAACAAGGCAGTCACGGCTTAAAGAAACAACTATTTAGCTTAAAGTATAGGTCTTATACTTTACTAATAGTAATGTTAATAGGTTTATTCAATATATTTATCGAACTTGAATTAAAAATGTATTTGCGAGATCCATGAAACACATCATGTCCCGTTATGAGAATACTTTGCTAATCCTGACAACAATACAAATTTTCTTATAAAACGTTAAAAATCTTTATATCTAATTTATCAATAATAAAAAAATATTTTACCTTAGTATACATTGTTTAGTCGTTAATTATTACAATCTCAAATTAACACTGGTAATTTATTTGTACTTTTTCTCCTTTTTATATCATCGACTGTTGTAAAGCGGTTTAATTGTGCAAACATTTCTTTACCTAAAATAAGTTCATTTCATATGGTTATCACTTTTTTATGTCAACCTTATAAACCTTGCACAGGGAATCTTAATTATTAATATTTTGGATGGAATGAAACTAGTTTTTTTTTAAAGATTTTATTACTAAATATTTTTTTTATTTTCCACGTTTCGAGAACTTTGGTCATCCCTGGTCATAACACAATGGAATAGCATTATCTTATTAGTTTCTAAAAGTAAAGTAAAGTTACAGCCTATATGCGTCCCACTGCTGGGCTCAGGCCTCCCCTCATTTCTGAGAGGGTTTTAGGGCAAGGAAGTGTCCGCCGCGCTGCCCAAATGCGTGTTGACGAACTTCACATGTCTTCGAAATATTTTTTTCTTATTCCTCAGACATGCAGGTTTCCTCACGATGTTTTCCTTCACCGCCGAGCACGTGGTAAATCAGCACTTAAAATTGCAATTAACAATTTCATTGGTGCCGGCGGGGATCGAACCCGGGTTACTCGCGTTCTGTTATATTTACAGCGAGCGTTAACCCCTGAGCTACCACGGCTATTAGTTTGTGCCTAACTTTATTCATAAATTTCAACTACTTTTCTATTAATTCTTGTACGAAATTATACTCTTTACTTCTCATTTATTCAGCTAAATGTGTGCTCTTAAAATCACATCTACAGCTAAGAAATATATTAGTTAAAAAGAAATGTTACAGGATGCATTTCGAAATGTGCGCAGCATTTACATGCCTTAATTCCTCTATCCCCTATCCACAGTCGTATAAACAGGAGATCGGCCTGCATTGATCCCTTTTATTGTCAATATTTCACGCATTTGTTCGAAGCGGTGCTTCGTTTTCCATAATACATACAGCAAAGGAATGGAATAATTTTCTTGTGTGTGTCTTCCTAATTCCCGATTACAGTATGGGTGTCTTCCAGGCAAGAGTGAAGACTAATGTTACCCTAAGCGTGTTATTTACTGGGCTTTATCATTTGGTCAAGCACTCGCCATATGTAAAGAAAATACAGTCACAGTTTGGCATTAGCAGAGATGTAGAATCTACAGCATGTTTCTTTTGTTTAACTAAGTTTCGTGTTTATTATCTGGATATTATAAATAATCAGAAAATATAGAGTACTAGTCACAGGCTCTGGCTACGCACAGGTGATTTCTGGATCTTGATGACAGCACCACCTGCCGGGTCCGATTGTGAATATATATCGTACAGGGATGCACTCAGACACAAAAAAATTCATCAAAATCGGTCCAGCCATTGTCGAGATTCTGCGAGACCAACGAACATCAATCGATTTTTATACTCGTATTATATAATATACATTGATCTTACTATTAAGAGATAATACGATACCATTCAGTAGACATCATGGTGATAAAGTGAAAAGTTAAAATGTCTTTGTATTCAAATAGTCCACGGCATATGTAAATGTAATCACTGTTTTATATTAAATTATTTTACTAGTTATATATATTATCTATATATTATCAGTATATATATATATATATATATATATATATATATATATATATATATATATATATGTGTTTTTTTAAATAGTCAATAACATTTTAGCAGAATGATAATTAACTGCACAGTGACAAACTAGTTAGACCAACATAATAACTGAGGAAATGGACCAACATATAAAAAAACGATAAATGAGACCTCAGCAACTATTGTCCAAAAGCCCTGCTACCTTCACTTTCTAAAGTCTTTGAGAAAGTAGTGTGCGATCGCGTGTATAATTTCTGTGAAAAATATAATATTATTGATAATTGTCAAAATGGTTTTCGTAAAAAACGATCAACAACGTTAGCGGTTTACAAATATATTCGGGAAAAACTTACCATAATTAATAATAAAAAATACGCAATCGGTGTACTATTAGACATTTAAAAGCTTACTATAAGGTTCAATTCAAAATTCTTCCTAACAAACTAGATGATATGGGAATCCGTGGTAAAGCATACGAATGGTTCAAAGCATATTTACAGAATCGAGAGCAATTCGTAGAAATAGACCACTTCATTACAAAACGAAAGAAAAAAACCAGTACCTCACAGAATACCAGCGTAAAATAGCAGTTTAATGCTACCGGGTTTCTTATGATGAGTGTAGAGAACCGGAGACCTTTTTTACTGGAAACGAGGCATTCATCTTAGTCCTCACGGGTGACTATGCATCTGCATTTTGATTCGTAATCGAGGATAGATGTAGGTGTCTATGGGCCACAGCAACCACTTACCATCAGGTGGACAGAAGTCCATACATTTTTTAGTCAAAATATACACTGAACACTGACACTCTTTCTTTAAAACTAATAATTTTATCACTTCTCTACAATGAAATGTGTACGCGTTTGACCTTTCTAGGCAATAACTTACATTATATACTGAGAAAAACAATAGTGAAATCCCGGAAAATTTTGACACTTCTTTAGTAGTGTGCGTGACTTTTGACAAGCAAACGTAAGGCGACGTTTAAAAATTGGCACACTAGATGGCATGCAAGTGATCTTAAATAATTCTGATAAATCAATATCTTAAGTTCAATAATTGGTTAATTTTCTTTCCAACCGTTAAAAAACAGTATAAAATAACATAAAAATAATGACCTTAGACACCTATGGTTTTTTTGTAAACAATTTTATTACTTATTATTGTTGTGTGGCAACATATATAACAAAAGTCGTAGGTAGAGCGACGATGCCGTTCTTACTGACCTTGAACTGACGAAAAAAAGCGTTACCAAACTTCTTTCACTTGTTTGACTTGTTATAAAATACATTCTGTTTTCGGTTGTCACGCGCTATGATTTGCGCGCGGAATTTCTTGTGCATTTTCATAGATTCGATTTTCAATTTTTCTCTTGTATATATTTGAGACTATATTGTAATTTATCGTAGGTATAGTATTTAATTATTCTAAAAACGCAATTATGTTTTCGGTAGTATTACAAACAGCAGGCTGGCCCGTGATTTTTCTGAAATATCGTCACAATACTGATTACCTACATCATACGTGTCAGTGTTTCATATATGAATAAACTACCAAACTACCAAACTACCAAATAGTAGTCACAAAATTAAACTTGCAAACGGTTGCTAAATATGGTTTTGTATGGTACTGATAAAAAATTCAATAGTGTAATGTAATGAAATAAAAATGCGTTACATTGTAATCAATATTGACATAATTTATTTCCCAAAGTTGTAAATCAATTAAATAGTTTACGCCAACAAATATAACTTTTATTTTTATAACAATGGTACTCGTTTTGTAGTTCTGCCTACCCAATCTACACATACAGAAAAATTAAAAACTAGTTTTTTTTTACATACACGCCATCTAGAGTTCAAGCTTCGTAAACGTAGGTTTATGTCTGTGTGTACTGTGTAAACGACATTATATTCAATGACAGATGTTATAATCAAACTTTGTGTCGAATTGGTTGGATTTTGAGACAATGATATGACCCATTCCAATAAAATGTAATATCCGATAACCGCAAAGTCTACTCCTACGATTTAATAATTTTCCAATTACACAAAAACCTAAATAAACTAAAAATGTTGAGTTAAGCGCCATCTTGCGGGAGAATGGCTGGGAACAGTCCGTAGGTTTCACCTTAAATGTATTTATTACTAGCGATGCGCTTCAGCTTTGCACTGGTGTTTTATAGATCTCGAGAACAGTGTCATCTACCGCATCGAAATGTAAATATAAACTATCTGGGGATCCATCCAAACAGGCACAAACATTTTCATTGAAATTGGTTGGATGGTTGGATGGTTTCTAATGTTTTGTCTATAACGGACATAGGTAGAAACATTTTAGTGTTAGATATATTTCTGAAGGTTTTTTGAAAATAACATAATGGTAACATGTATATTTATGATATTGTAAGCAATTAGAAGGGAATTTTTAATTATAAGAGATATGATATGGGACTGTTGTCTTCAATATCCATACACTTTTTGTCTCTGCAAGCTTTCAGCCTGCAAGGCATACAGATTTGTTCTAAGCGATACACCTGAAAAGAAGTTAATGAAAATTGTAAAGGTGTCTTAACTAAATATTAATTCTTATCAATATATTATTTTTATATATTTTATAGGAATTAAAAGGACATTTTTAATAATAAGAGATATGAGATAAGACTATGCCTTCAATGTCAACAAACTGTATTTACATATTTCTGTCAGCATTTTCTTATATTTCTTATCTGCTTGTTCATATGTTAAATAATAAAGAAATTATTATAAATTATACAGCATTAATCAGCTCCAGCTGATCAAATACAGAAGCAGTAATTATTGATTAACATCAATGATATTCAACTATGTAAAAGTTGTCTCACATTTTATTTTCACTGGTTCCGTGTACATAGGAGACAAATATATTATTGTTATATTAAGTATATCTGATTCTAGATGACAAAATAATATTCCTTTATGCAGAGTGAACAACACAGCTATCTAAGCATAATAGATACAACCATTACACTTTTTATGCAAACTGTTAATTTATATTTGCTTCTAGTACAAAATAATTACTACATTTTTTACACATAAATATATGTACCATTTATATTGCCTATCTACTACGGCTGGTATAAATCCAGGATCCGTGTCTGGCTTAACAAAAAATTCAATTTAGTATTAAGCAACTTGCTGAATACCTATTTGTACACAAATGCAGTTATATGGATTGCTCTTCAATACCCTCTTGAAGTCCCTCGACCCAAAAATTCTAATTTTCTTTTAACATTATAATAACTTCTTTTGTGCATTTATTCTATTTATTATTTAATTTAGATTTTACTAATAACACAAACTTAATAATTTGTCACATTTAACAAACTAATAAGGTTCTAAGACCTGTTGTTATTTGTATTTGTTTTAGGTAAAATAAGTACGAACGAAGTAAGTACAAACTTAATAATAGATTTTCACAACCTGGAATAGGTGTAAATTAATAAACTCTTATATTAATTAACCTAAACTCGTCAGTTTTATTTGCGAATGTTACGACAAAAATAAAAAGAGAAAAACGTACGTACTTTGTCAATTAATATTTGGCTAACCTTCCTGATAATTGGTAATATCCATATTCTCTTAAACATTAGTCTAGTAATGCTTGTCAATAAAAACTTCATTTTGTTCTTACCATAATGAGGCGACTCCAACCACGTTTTATTTCATTCGAGTGAATCGAGTGAATTTGTCCAACTCGGCAATCGATTGAAAATAAATTTTACCGAGTTACCGAGTTAATTCGGCGCATCGTTTTTTTTTTATAGAAGATTATAGTAGAGGGGGCAAACGAGCATGCGGCTCACCTGATGTTAAGTGACTACCGCCGCCCATGATCAACCGCAACACCAGGGGAATTGCAGGTGCGTTGCTGGCCCTTTAGAAAGGAGTAAGCTCTTTTCTTGAGGGTCCCCAGGTCGTATCGGTCCGGAAAAATCGCTGGTGGTAAACTATTCCACAGAGAGGTTGTACGCGGAAGAAAACTCCTCTTGAAACGTACAGTGGTGGACCGCCAAGCATCCAGATGGTGTGGATGGTATCGGGACGTTTGCCGCGTAGTGCGTTCACGAAATTTGGCGGCTGGGATTAATCCGAACAATTCCTTAGAGCACTCTCCATGGTATATGCGAATAGATTCAGAGGGTGCTATATAGATATTAGTTCACTACTTTACTTGTATATATAATAAGTCGCTACGGGTAACGTTACAAGTTGCATCCAAATTCAAACTTGCATGTTGTAAACAAACCCGAACAAACAAACCCCCCAATAATTTATGTTATTGATTTATGATTTTAATTTCATGTTGCCACATATTACTTATTTATAAAGGTACATATTATTTTAAAATGGTTTAACTAAAGTAATCGCTACTCTCAACTCTAGTGATAAACTTTTCTGTAAATAGTCGATTTACTCAAAAACAAGTGTAAAACTAGAATGACATACATACATAAATTTGACCTGAGTGTATGTAACCAATGCAGTGTTTGTCTACAATTTAGTGATGAAATAAACTTACTAATTCGAGCATTTTTTGATATATTATGTAATAAATAAATTGATATTAGGTAATATGTTTATAATGTTGTATCAATTTATGTTATATATAATATAAATTGATTATATATACTTTGTGATAGTCAAACTATTATTAACATTAAGACTTACGTCATGACGTTAGAGTGATATTATTATATGAAGATTGTCGATACGCATACCAAAAATAATATACATACATAAACACTCACGCCTGTCAGCCAGAGGGGTAGGCAGAGACTACAGACTTCCATTTGGCACGATCCTGACACACCTCTCTCGCCTCCTTCACATCCATACACCCACGCATACATGCTCGTCGGTTAAGGGTACTCCTAATTTGGCCCGTTTTTAATAAATCGCCAATTTGGTCGATAAATTTTCGCCTAGGACGTCCCTTTCCGACTCTGCCATTCACTTCTGCAACATAAATTTTCTTTGTCAGTCTTTCCTCATCCGCTTTTTCCACATGACCAAACCACCGAAGCATTCCTTTCTTAATCCTGGTCACAACATCATCTTGCAAACCACACTCTTCTCTTATTACACAATTTCTTACCCTGTCATTCAGATTCAGCCCTAACATACTCCTTAACGACCGCATTTCTACTGCGTTCATTCTACTCTCGTGCTTCTTCTGCCACACCCAACTTTCACTACCATACGTTAAAGTAGGTACCAACACAGCATTGTGAATTGCCATACGTGCCTTTTTTGACACATTTTGACTCTTCACAATAGAGTGCAGGGCCCCATTTACTCTATTTCCCGCATTCACTCGTCGTTCTATATCCTTATCATATCTCCCATCCCTGCTAAATACGCAGCCCAAATATACAAACTCGTCTACTTGCTCGATCAACTCCCCTTCTATTCTTATTTCACAAATCGTTTTACTTTCTTCTCTTTCAGAAAACATAACCTTCGTCTTACTTGCGTTCACTTTCATACCCCTTTCTGTTAATGATCTGTTCATTAATGTGACCATCATTTGCAACTCGGCCGCCGACGACGCAAGGATAACTTGATCATCGGCGTACAAAAGGCATTTGACGGTTAACTCACCCATTCTTAGTCCGCATTCTTCAACTTTAAAATTTTGCAAACAACTGTCCATAAATAGGTTGAACAGCCACGGGGAAGCCACACAGCCCTGTCTGACACCTTTATGGATGTCAAACCAGTCCGAGTAGACCCCGTTGATCCTAACACAAGCACTAGAGTCCCTATAAAGAGACTCCAATGCCTGTATCAAGCCTGCGCTCAACCCAAATGATTTCAGTGTTTGCAATAGCACATCCCTATCAACTCCGTCATAGGCATTTTCCAAGCCCATGAACGCAAAAAAAACCTTTTAGTTTTTGGCCAAAAACTTCTCCGAGATCATGCGCATGGAAAAGACTTGATCTGTACATCCCATTCCCTTTCTAAATCCCGCTTGCACATCCCAAATTTTTCCATCAGTTTCTTTCATGGCCCTTTCAATCAGTACTTTAGCATACAGTTTTCCCACAATGCTAGGAAGGCTGATGCCACGGTAGTTTTTACAGTCCTGTTGCGACCCTTTTCCTTTATATACTGGGACTATCACGGCTTTGCACCAGTCTACCGGTACCCGCTTCAGTTCCCAGCATAAATTAAACAAGGTGTGCAGCAGGCCTGCCACCACTTCCTCTCCAGCCCTTAGCATTTTGAGTGAAACTCTATCATATCCGGCAGCCTTACCTGCTTTCATGCTTTTCATTGCTTTCATTATTTCATCTATACTTATCTCGCTACCTCTTTCCTCTTCTTTCGGAGTTTCTACTTCACTTAGTACACTCGTTGTCTCCTCACTCATAAACACGCTTTCAAAATATTCCTTCCATCTCTTTAAACTCAAAACTTCATCATTAAGAATATAGCCACTCTCGTCTCTTATAGCATTCATCATAGGCTGTTTTGAATGTCCCCTGGCAGTTCTTACAAGTTTCCAGAACATTTTAATATTTGCCTGGAAATTATCCGATATTCTTCTATCATTCTTATCCGTTCTTTCTTGGTTTTTTCTTTCAACTACTTCTTTTACTCTCTTATTAAGATGTCTAAAGACTGCTTTTTTTCTTTCAATATTGTCATTCGTACCGCTAGAATTACCAGAAGAATTAGAATTGTTGCTAGTAAATCTAGCCATGCTCTCTTCTTTGCTTCAACTTCCATACGTATCTCATCATCCCACTATAACGTATTATTTTTCCTTTCATTCTTTCTCTTACTAACACCACATACTTCGGTAGCTGCATCCACTAAACCTTTCTTTACATTTTGCCATACATTCTCCAAGTCTAACTCCTTCATACATAATTCATCCAAACCACTTATATTTTCTTTCAGTCTACATTTGAACTTGTTTTTCTCACCTTCATCTTGTAATCTTTCTGTTCTAATACGCTGTAACGCAGTGGTAGACACAGATGACTGATAGCGCCAACGCCTGAATAGACCATTAATTCGGCATAAAACCAAATAATGATCCGTTCCTACGTTAGAACCCCGGTAAACCCTTGTATCTACCACTGCGCCCCTCAATCTTTCATCCACAATTATGAAATCTTCCACAATTATGAAATCTTCCAGAATTATGAAATCTATATATAAAAAATAATATATAACTACCTATTAAGTGTAGTAATAATAATTGTGTTGTATAGAAGAACAATTATAAAAACAATTTGTGACAAATTGACACAGCTTCGTTCAGCTAATTTGAATCGCGTAACTCGAGCTCAAAATCGAGTTAACTGAATTTCAAGTCGAGTCGATTTTTTTCCGAGTTATCACGGCACATCTCTAAGACAATAATTTTTAAATATTACATACCTTAGCCAATGATCAGAACAACTATTTTTTTTTCAGCTTTCTTGATTCCGTTTGAATTTTCGAAAAATATATAGGCCATTTACTATTATAATTTGGTGTCTTTTTTGATGTAAATACCATTACCAATATTTCTAGTGGGTCCAAAAATGATTGTCTCCTTTCGGCCAAATACTTAAATTTGCATTTTTCGAATTTGAGTAAACAACACATAAAAATAAATATTCACGCCTGTGAACCAGAGACGTGGGCAGAGTCTATGGATTTCCATTTTGGACGATCCTGATAAAGCCTCTTTTACATTCATATACCTACTTATGCATGGTCGTGAGTTAATGGCACTATTAATTTGACACATCTTCAATATATCGCACATTTATTCGATAAAGTGTCGCAAGAGTAGAGTCGTCTACCCTTGCCGACTTAATGACCGCCTTTTCTCAGCATTTATTCTAATCTTGTGCTTCTTCTACCCCACACAACTTTCACTAACGTTCATTCAGGTAGGGACTAACACAGTATTGGGAATTGCCATACGTGTCTTTATCTACTTGCTCGACCAACTCCCCTTCTATTCAGCTACCCAGTCACTAAATGAAATAGTATTCCGCGTTATCAAGTACAGTTTATTTGGCCCTTTTTTTATCACATACATAGCATGTTACTGTGGTTTATCAGAAAATTTTTGTTGTCTTAGAAATAACAATAAAAATCGGGAATATTTATGAAATCTCTTTGTTAAAGATAAAAAACTACTTATTATAATTTATTTACGACGACAAGAGTAAAAACAAATAATCAATGGTGATGCTGCACGGGAACTGCGTGGGTAGCGTGGCCCTCACGGTGTACAACAGCGTTGAATCTGAAACAAAAAATGGGCAACACATGAATCGTCTTACATCACAACTTAATTTAAAATTCACAGAAGAAAAATTATGAATATGTTCGTAATTTTTCTTCTCCTAAACCCGATTTTGATGAAATTTTAATGGTGTACTTAGGCGGTTACTAGCTACAGTTAGATCGCGTAGGTGGTACTGTTATCGAGATTCTGGAATCACCCATTGGACTCCGGGGCGGGTCGCTAGTATGTGGACAAGATTGAAAAAACATAAGTTTTGTACCCATACTTTTTCAATCTTATATAAATTTGATAAAGAAAGTTTTAAAAAAAAATTTCAAGAAGTTGGTTATTTGTATTAGGTATGAACGTCATAGACTGATAAAATAATTTTGATATGTTTTCATTTCAAGTATTTGAACTACTTACCCGTTATGAGCGTCAGCGGTGTATTCAACAGTTCTGACAGTGCCGTCGGACTCGTGCAAGCTGTAGGAACCGTGCACAGCATCACCCTCTCGGCTCTCGTGCTGGGACTTGATGTCACCCGTGTGCGAGTCGGCTACAGAGTACTCAAACGAATAGTGTGGGGGCGCCTGGAATTTGGTTTTATGTGTGAATAATTTGGTTAAGGGTACCAACTGCAAAATTACTCAGGAGATCAAATCTACCATTCATCAACGATCAAAAACCACTTTTACCGCAAGCATTTCTTATTTTTTGAAAAAGTATTTATTTATATATATATATATATATATATATATATCTTACATAGTAGTCCTGGTGATGGTCGTTGTGTTCTGCGTAATGTGCGGGCTGGTGGTGCAAGACCAAAGCGGGCGCTCTGTGAGCCGTTTGGCCGTGGCTCTGATGCAGTACTATGTTCTGAGACGACTGCGCGTGGCCATGTCCATGTCCATAACCATTATTGTATTGTCCGACAGCTACGGAAAGGACAGCGGCGGCGATAATAATCTAAAAAAAACGTGTTAATGCTATTTTACTATAGAGTATACATAATAAGAACGTACAGAAAGTACTACTATACTTTGTAATATAGGCTTTTAATATAATAATGTCCTTCAGACCGAATATCGATGAAGTCGTCCAGTGTCAAAGTGACTAAGAATCTATGCTGGGCACGATTATAGGGCACGATATGTGTGCCAAAGCAGTTGCACTATCTATTCCTCCGTTCTCATAGTTCGATGAACGGCAATCCGACATAACTGGAGAGATAAGGTGCAGGAAAATTCCGATCCATAAGGATGTAACACTTTCAAATTCTTGATTACTGGCTGCTACCGAAAATTTCTCGACAAAAGCATCCAATAAATAATTAACCGTTATAATCGAACCCGGTGCCACATGATGAACTGTTGCGCTTACAATCACTACACCAACACGGCAGTCACGGCTTAAAGAAACAACTCTTTGGCTTAAAGTATAGGTCTTATACTTTACTAATAGTAATGTTTATAGGTTTAATCAATATATTATGTATCGAACTTGAATTAAAAAAGTGTTTGAGAGATCCATGAAACACTGCGTCCTGTGATGAGAATATTTTGCTATTCCTGACAACATCACAAATTTTCTTATAAAACGTTAAAAAATCTTTATTTCTAATTTATCTTTAATAAAAAAAATACTTTACCTTAGTATACATTTTTAATCGTTAATTATTACAATTTCAAATTAACACTGATAATTTATCCGCACCTTTTCTGCTTTTTATATACTCGATTGTTGTAAAGTGGTTTAATTGTGCAAACATTTCTTTAAGACGATAACAAGTTCGTTTCATAAGGTTACTATCACTTATTTTATGTCGATCTTATAAACCATGCACAGGGAATCTTAATTATTTTAAATCATTTAAAATATTATTTTGTCTTTAAAGAAACAATTTTTTTTACGGATTTTACGAATAAATATTCCTTATTTCTAACATTTCGAGATTTTTGATCACCCATGGGTAGGGCGCAATGGCTAATAATAGTATGACGTTAGTATTCTTATTCGTTTGTGGTTACCTTAATTTATAAATTTCAACTATTTTTTTTAATTTTTGCCAAAATTTGTGCGCTTTAAATCACATTTACAGCTAAGAAATATTTTAGTTAAATAAGTAATATTACAGGATGCATTTCGGAATGTGCGCAGTAATTACATGCCTTAATTCCCGGCCTGCCTTGATCCCTTTGTTGTCAATATATCACGAATTCGAACAAATCGGTGCTTGGACTTTCGTAATGCGTACAGTAAAGGAATGGAATTTTCTGGCATCTGTCTTTCCAATTCCCGATTACAGTATGGGTATCCAGGCAAAAGTGAAGACTTTTGTTACACTAAACCGTGTAATTTACTAAGGGCTTTATCACTACCCAGAAAATTTGGTCAAGCACTCGTTATATGTAAAAAATAATAGTCACATTTTGGTATCAGCTGGGATCTAGAATCTACACCAGGTTCTTTTATAACTAAGTTTCGTGTTCATTATCAGAATATTATAAATAATAATAATATATAGAGTAAAGCGCCACCTGCCGGGTCCAATTGTCCGGGGCTACACTCAAACACACACAAAAAATTCATCAAAATCGGTCCAGCCATTTTCAAGTTTTTACAAGATCAACGGACAGCAATTGAATTTTATATCCTTATATAAGTATATAGATAATACAATACAATACAGAAGACATCTTAGTGATAAAGTTAACAATTAAAATGTCTCCGTATTCGAACAGTTTTCAGCAAATGTTAAGGTATAATCACTGTAATATATTAAATGATTTTACTAGTTATATATATCTCACTTTATGAAATAAATAATCAATAATTCATCACAATATTTATATTTTGTAATAAGTGTTTTATTTATCCACATTATTTACTTATAGTATAGCATTAAATCTTATTAATTATTAAGTATCATTATAAATCATTATACCACTTAACTATTATCCATTTTCGAATTTTGTGGCGAAACTTAATTTTTATACACTAATATGGCTGTTCCTTCTTATGGATGCAATTTTATGGGAGGAAAAGTTTTATAGGGATTATTAATTCACCTCGGTCGGTTATAGTACTGAGTACTGAGTACTTCTCAAGAATGGACTATGGCACCAAAAAAAAATTTAGTCCAAGTATAGTAAAGATTTTATTATACTTACACAGTAGTACTGGCGATTTTCAGAATACCGAGCATTATGTTGTTGCCGATGCTGGAGGATGACAGCTGGCGCTCTGTTTGTGTAACTGTGTGTGTAACCACCGGTCTGATGCAGCAAGTGATGATCACAAAGTTAAGTATGATGAAAGGGCCTAACCTTGACTATATTCACAGTCAGAATAGTGCCGCCGACCAGTGGTCAGGAAAACTCAGGCTACAGCTATTCCTCAAAAACAATTTACTCGTATATGTTTTTTGTGAACTTAGGTATGTGTTTGCGTTTGCGATGTGATGTGTTTTAATTTTCTTTTATATTCCTTTTGTTCTCAGTTATTATTTGTAATGCCTATTTCTTCATTAATTTTATATTCTACGGACGTTTGAATATATTAGTCATGTGTTATGAATGCCGCAAATCCTTATAATATTATAAATTAGTTTTATCGAATTTATATATTAAAATAAATCTCTTTATGTTTTTTTTCTCTCAAAATTTTACATTATATCAATTATTTACACAATATATTTTCTACATGTCAATGATATGTTGTAAACTGATAACATTCATTGCTATGCTGACGACAACATTGGTAATGCCTTATAAACCGGCCGTGCCAATATTTCTCGGGAAATCGTCGCCGAGTACCGGGACAAACTCGTGTCTGAAGTGATGTCTTTGCTTACCAAAGTCTCGGATTGGGAGCGACAAAATCCCGAGAAAACGTAAGTTTGCGCGTTAACCGCTAAAACGAACCCCTTTGTCATATCTTCTCAGATTGAAGGCACTCCTCTTGCTGCCTCAGATAGTATCAGAATCCTCGGCGTCGATATATCGAATAATGTGCAGTTTCGTGGTCACTTGGAGGGGAAAGCCAAATTGACCTCTAAAAAGCTTGGCGTGCTCAGCAGTGCAGAGCGAGATAGTATTTCCAGCCGGCACATCGCTTGCAACTTTACAAAGCGCAAGTTCGGTCTCACATGGAATACTGTTCTCATCTCTGGGCTGGGGCACCCCAGTGCCAGCTCCTTCCACTTGACCGCATCTCGACGACCGAGTTCGTTCTGATCGGCTCGATTTACTGGCGCTGCGTAGGGATGTTGTATCCCTTTGCGTTTTCTATCATATCTGCCATTCTGAGGAATTGTTCGGATTAGTTCCAGCCGCCAAATTTTACGTACGGACATAGGGTCAAAATTCCCAATACCATCCTCGCCATCTAGATGCTTTGCTGTCCACTACTGTAAGTTTACCAGGAGTTTTCTTCCTCGTACAACTTCTCTATGGGATTGCTTACCACCGCCGACTTTTCCGGATCAATACGACTTAGAGACCTTCAAGAAAAGAGCTTACTCTTTTCTAAAAGGCCGGCAACGCATCTGCAATTCCCCTGTTGTTGCGGTTGTTCATGGGTGGCGGTAGTCACTTACCATCAGTAGAGCCGCATGCTCGTTTACCCCCTTTTCTATAAAAAAATTAATGGTGGCAGAAATAGATAAGAGGGTGGTACCAATCCAAACGGACTCCTAGGAAGGAAAAGAGCCTTACTATCTTGTGATTTTGCATTCAAAGCACTCGCTTCTCCTAAAGAGTACTTACGTGACAGCTTATGTTCAGACGCAATGTTATAAACAGTCAGAAATTATGAAAAAATAAAACAATCTCTACTCAATATCTCTTTATATCCAGTAGCTCTAATAGCAACTTTTGATTTGCAATAATATTTATTCCAGATAGGATTTGAATACAGGGTCAACGACCCAGTAGTCGTGTCTTATTATTATCATAAAGTCACACGGTTTTAAAAATGAAACGAAAGTAGTATTTTTTTAATTTAGACCACCCTAATGCAACATAGAAGGACTCGTTATATTTTAAACTGAATATTTCCTACACACTGATAGAATAAGTTACTTGTTGCAATGCACGGATGAACATAGGCGTCCCTCATAAATCACTTATTAGCCCAGTATATAATATACCCACTACTTTTGCTATAAGTTGGCTTATAAGCATAGACTAAATGAAGAAAAAACTTGAGTGATATGTACCTTATAATTTTAACTCTTATAATATTTATCACGTACAAACAGTTGTAGAAAAACTAAATGTTCATATCACTCACAAGTGAATTAAATAATTTGTTCTAATTATTTGCATAAAAATAAAAAGTAAAGTTAGAGTCTACATATGTCCGTCCCACTCCTGGGCACAGGTCTCGCCTCGTTTCTGAGAGGGTTTTAACGTTACGAAATGTCCCCCGTGCTGCCCCAATGCGTGTTTATGTACTTAATATTTCGTTTTTATTTTCGCATACATATAGGTTTATGCAATGTTTTTTTTTTGTTATCTAGCACGTAGTAAAAATGTATAAATTATAAAAAATATTAACATAGAAGTATTAATATATGTTTGTATGGAATGAAATACAGGTGCCATTGCCGCACTTAATACTGAAGGCGTTCTAAATGGTATAAGGGTTAAAGCTTAAGCGTACTTTGTAACATAAGATGGTATAATATATTACAATATAATATGGTGAGATGCAACTTATTTAAAACAAATCATCACCATATCTAATTTGTTGGATCAAATATAAGTAAACTAACAGCATCGGTAAGCTTAATTTGTCTTTGATAAATGGCGGTTTTACCATCTCGTATAAACCAGGAATAGTTCGGATTAATTTAATTATAATTAATTAATTTTGATTAATTACAGCCTCCAAATTTCACGAACGCACATCAAGTCAAAACTCACAATAATATCCACACCATTTGGATACTTGACGATTGAAAACTTTGTATTTCGCTATGAGGTTTCCTCCACGTACAACCTCTTTTTTGAATCGGTTATTTTTTTTAGGTTTTTTGGACAGATACGACTTACGGACTTTCAAGAAAAGGGCTTACTCTTTTATAAAAGGCCGGCAAAGCTCGCACCTGTAATTCTCCTAGTGTTACAAATTTTCATAGGCGGCGGTAATCACATACCATCAGGTTTTTTTATAGGAGAGGGGGCTAACGAGCATACGGTTCACCGGATGTTAAGTGAACATCGCCACCCATGAACAACTGCAACACCAGGGTAATTGCTGATGCGTTGCCGGCCTTCTAGAAAGGAGTAAGCTCTTTTCTTGAAGGTCCCTAGGTCGTATCGGTCCGGAAAAAGAGGTTTTACGCGGAAGAAAACTCTTAGTGAAACGTACAGTGGTTAACCGCCAAGCATCCAGATAGTATGGACGGTATCGGGAGGTTTGCTTCCTCTTCTATGAAAAAAGAAACAAATATAAAATTCCCAATCCAACAACGACAACCAGCGTGAAAGATTCGAGGCTCATCTTATGGAGAGGAACATATTCGGTAGGTTACAACTCACTGCTGAATATAACCCTCCCAAAGAATGACTTACAGCAGGCTCCTAGGCCACTTGAAATTATCGACTTCCTGCATGTCTTAACAGGTTACCTTAGGTAAAATTTTAGCTGTGTTGCTGGCCCATAGCTACTTCAGCTTATAGATCGATTGGGCTGGACAACAACAAAATCGGCACTGTTGTGCAAATCAACCAGTGCTGACTTTGTTATGGGATGATTAAACCGCCATTTATCGTGACCTATAGAACCTTTCTAACGTTTCCCGTAGTCACATTTACGACACCAACGGGACGAAATTGGTGATTTATATAATATAAGTTTCTATCTTCACATAACCTTTATCAATTTACACAGAATTATTTAACTTTTTACTATTTATTTTGGAAACGAACAATCGCCTACAAATTAAAAAAAATACACGCAATTAATCTGTTACAAGTAGACTTACAGATCAGAATTTTGCTAGAATTATGAATTAACAGTGAATGTGAGAGCACAGTTTTCTAACCCTATTAGACATCGAACATTGAAAATTGCTGAAAACTTTTTCGTGTGAATATTATTGTGTTGATTTTTGATTTTTTTTGTGTTTTATTAAAGTGTTTTATTATAAAATTGTAATAAAAGTTTTTGGGTAAAGATAATTTATCTTTTTACGTAAATAAATTCGAGTAATATATATAGAAATGATTGTGATTTTCACGCTGCCAACATCCGCTTGGTATGTATTTTTTGTTATCATAATACAATCAAATCTCTTTGTAATGAAGTAAAACCTGATTTTTGTTTAGACCATAGGATAGAAAAGTTTGTATAAATTTATAATGCCAAACTTCTTTATGGAAAAGTAGTCTCTAAATATAAGTTTTAATGGCTTAAAGTGCTGTGGGTGGGTGCGGTCGCATGCGACCGCTCGGAATTTTTATGGGGATTGAAGGGTTAAATAAGTTTGCCGGTTAATTTTTGTTCCGTGGTTCTTACCAGCGTTGTGTTTACAGTTGTTTGTATGTTTTTAAACTGCCCCCACGATACAGGAGAAAATCCTAGTGTGGCGGTAACGTATTAAAAAAGAAAAAAAATTGTTTATAAAAAACTCTTATATAACACAAAAAGAAAAATTTTGGTTATATGAGCAAGCTATCTTAACATCACGTATCAATCAGCCACTTAATATAAAAATATATCGGAAATTATTATGGGGGATGTACTGAACTACATTTCACTTAACTCTGTAATTAATCAAAATAATGCAAGGAATTAACCGGTATTTTTTTAATTCCTTAAGGGCTTTTGGTCTTTCAGCGCCCAACATTTTCCTGAAGATTTGTGTTTCAATCGTGCTCTTGTCTAACTTGACTCCACCAAAGTTATGCATTGAGAATTGACTGAAAATTAAAATCTTCAGCAAAATATAATTGCAGCCACGATTCCGTTAGGTTGAGGGGAATAATAATACCCAGTAATTTCCGGAGCCAGTAAAAGATAATTTAATTTCGGGTAAGTGATTCCACTATAAGTTGGCTTTACGACCATTAATAAGTCTCAGAGACAGCTTTATGACCATAAATAAATCTTAGAGACAGACTTAGAAACAGTTTTAGTCAACAGCGATACATACTTGGAATTTTCACGGATGAGCAACAAAAATAATTTGCACATTACACGTGAACGTCGCAAAACTGCCAATGAGGTTTATGAGAAATATTGTGAAGTCATGAATAACCCATTTTTATGTGTTAATAAATTCGTTATCAAGGTTAAACTCGGTCATGGAAAAGTCGATTATTCCTGGTGATGCCTCGTTTAGAGGAGAAACACATGTCATGTTTTTGATGATAGTATCTATCCTAGTGTAAAGATGGTTGGAGTAGTGAACTTTTTATTTTTTATTCATTTTCAATAATTTATAATAGAAATATAACTTCAAAGCAATATTTACAAAAAAGAAAAATTATCTCATAATGCAGGATGCGTTGAAGGAAGAAAATTTATCATATTACGTTTTTACGATTTAATTTTGAATACCATAAGGATAAGGTCGCGAGTGGAGGTAGTATTTAAAAAAATATAGTATCTACTGATTATGTCATAAATTTGCTCCCTATAAGTCTCACTGAGTCCTCAACAACAGCGTTATTACTTAATAAGTGTGAGGAACGAAGAGGGAAGGGCTCGATCTATGATCTATATTTATAATAAATGTAAGTTTTAATTAAAATTTTTATTTAAAAAATTCTTGTAAAAAATAATAAACATTTGATACAAATATTAATAAATAACACAACATTACAGTAAAATAACCAATGAAGTGTTAAAATACATTTACGGTTTTAGTAAATAACAATCAAATAATAACAAATAGGAACACATGGATACATTAAAATTAATTATGATACATTATAATTAATAATGGTGGTGTTTAGGAATGATGTGGTGGGTGCTGTGCTTCACGTCCGCATGGAAACTGAAAAAAAAAACAGGTTATGTTTTATTATTTCACAATAAGCATGAATCATTTTAAAAGCCCCTTTAAGTGTCGTGCTGGCTTTTTCCAAAACATAACTCGTATAGCCGAAACAGTGATTAAAGAATAAATTTAAGCTTTTAATAATTATAATTTTTTATAATCTAAACTATTAAATATTTTTATTCTATTTAGGGGAAGCAGATTAATCTAGTTGAAGCAATTTTTATATCCTATACCTTTAAACGAGCAATTCTTGTATATATAATCGGAATCTCGGAAACGGCTCCTACGATTTTCATAAAATTTAGTGTCCAGGGAGTTTCGGGGGCAATAAATCGAACTAGGATTCATTTTTAGAAAATGTCGTTTTGTCCGTGTTTTCAGGCAATAAAAACTGCTACAATATCGTTAGAATAATAAGGTAAATTTTGACAGTTTGTTACTGATTATAAATAGCGTAATTGGTATATTGTGCGGTCACAAAATCTTAATACCCTGGTCGAGTCCTATCTTCAGACTGACTTTATTTAATTTTTTTTCAAGTTCCCTTCTTTTTTGAGAAAATTTATTATTTCGAGCCCTTTTTTAGTATTTTTTTAAAAACACGGAAATTTAAATTAAACTTATTGCACTCATGATTTTTATTCAAATAACCAGTTCAGTTTTTTCTATTATGTTGCTAAGATTAAAAAATATTATTTGTATTTCATCAGTATGTAATTTGTATCTAAATATAATTTCCAAAACACACGAATTAAAAAAAACTGTGCGAAAAATACCGAGCAAAGCTCGTTCAACCAGGTACTGTGTTTATTATATTGGCACAGATTTTATGCAATTCGATATATTTCATGCCATTACAGAAGCTATTAGAAATTCCACAGTGACACACTTATAAACAGATGGAGCTAAAGAAGTTTTACTTCAGTCGTGTGATCATAAGCACACTCGTTTTTTGTATTAACATTTTGTTACTAACAAAATGTCCTATAATTAAAAGTAAGACATATTTAAGAAATTGTTATCTGTCTTACCCGCTATGCTTATCAGCATGGTACTCTACAACTCTTATAGAACCATCTGGCTCATGCAAGCTGTAAACGCCCTTAACAACGTCTCCATCACGGAACTCATGCTGGGACTTCTTATCACCAGTGTGGTGGTCTTCTACCTTATAGTCAAACTCATACTTGGGATGAGCCTGAAAAGACAAATATTTTAGATTCTACTAATAACTATTCAATTTCTTACAGCAGTTATTAATTTATAAAACAAAAATTATTAATTGATATTAATTCTGGTTTAAGAAACTTATTATCTCAAGAATTTTACATTTCAACATTACAAGGCTTATATATCTACAATTTAATTGACTAGTTAAATTCAGCAAAATATGTATTCATATTAACTAGTCTTCGCCGTCTAATGGGAGTGTAAGAGAATGTCCTACTCGATATCATCCCGTGGGTGTCGTTTGTGCTACAACCGTGATAAAGCTGCAGTTTGGCTCTATCACGTATAATATAATTATGTACTGGTAAAGAAAAATTAATTTTAAGGATATGAGTTCACTAATCAATATAAAAATAGTATTATTCATACATAGTAGTCTACATGTCCATGACCGTGATCGTAGCCATGTCCGTGTCCTCCATCGTGACCGTGATAATGACCATGCACATGTACTGGATGAGCGGGTCCATCGTGCCGCGAAATGTGCTGCGAAGAGTAACCGTGGCCATATCCTTGGTCATAGCTGGCAGCCACTACAGCAACAAGGATCGTTATGCACAGAATCTGCAATTGTTTTCATTAAAGAATGAACTGTTATTATGCTTTATAAAACTACATTTCATTTATCACTTGAACACTAAATTCTAAACTGTTTACCTTAGAAATCATTTTGCTTTCTTATTTGTGGATATGCTAATGTTTCTAAAATCGACACTTAACTGATACACGTTGACAATAAAACACCTCTTTTATATTGATAACTAAAGTAACAAGCCAAGGTAATATAGATTTCACTCTATATTAGTGCCAGTTAAAATTATTCAACAGCTACAGTATGCGTTAAGTTTTTGCAACTAATTTCGTAAAATCGTTTACTTGACATAGCTACTATATTCGTTAGTGTTGCGATAGTTAAACATAAATAATAATTACGGACAATCGACAACTTGCGTTGTAGTAATTGATACAAAGACCGAAGTTAATTGAACATTCTCCAACAGTCAGCCTATTTTGATTACTATCATAAACGCTTTCTAAAGTTACTATTGTGTAATACATTTTACACTTATTATAAAAAGACAAAATATTATAGTTACAAGATATTTTCACCCAAAATACAAGATATTATACGATTATAATTACCTTATTAGATAAATGATTTAAAAATCATTATTTTATTTTAGATTTAGAAATTAAAATCAATGTAAACAGTCGGTTAACAGGTATACCTAATGAGATTAAAAAGATGTTTTAGGGCTAAGTAAGTTTTATTACTTTTTAACCATACGTTCGTACGTCTACCTAAGAATATTAAAAGTTGTAGGAATACGTACTCGTTCGAACCTATCTCAGATGTTAAAAGTAAATAACCAGTGAGTGATGCCAATGATAACTGACATTGCCGAGACCAGGTCCTATACGGAAATACATATAGCCATTAAAGCCAATCGTCGAGCTGTTCTCCATGGCCTTTTCCATAACTCGATCACCAGTCATATTTAACTTTTGAGCATTTAATATATGATGTAATCATATTCAGGATTTATCAGAGCAGAAACGTCGAGCTAGTAATTCCCTCTTCTTCTTTAGTCTTTTTTTGTATTCAATATTTTTGTAGCTGCGATAGCAGCTAAACTTGGCTTATGAAAAAATAGGTATTTTGTAGAAATATATTTAAATAGAGTAGAAACTCTGTGAAGAGCGTGCAGTGGGGTGGCGTATTGAGTAAATGGGAAACGGAATTTTTTACATAGTAGAGCCATGCTGCAGGTATATTGTGGTTGCAGCACTAATGGGTCGGTTCGATCGGGGTAAGATCACGCTCTCATAAAATACCAGCGTAAAATAGCAGCTTAATGCTGCAGTGTTTCGTATGGTGAGTATAGAGAGCCGAAGGCTCTTTTTACTGACAACGAGGCAGGGGTGACAACGCATTTGCATTTTGATTCTTATTTGAAGATAAATGTAGCCACAGCATCTGCTTATCATCGCGTGGACTGTGTGCTCGTTTGTCACCCTTATTCTATAAAAAATGTTCCTATTTTTAGGACTTAATAAATCCTAGTTGAAAACCACTCTGAATAGCGGACGCGTAGCTATCATACCGCGCCGAATGTTTTTCGTTCAGGTCTTAGGCTTAGATCCCAGACGACATTTTCAAAATAAAATAAGTTCTTAATAAAAAAGTTAAGGTTGACTTCAAGTAACTAAAATAAATTAAATAATTTTACATACTTAAATTGATGTTAAGACCTAGTGTAAGTAAGTAGCGTAAACTAAGTAGAGCCACGTACAGTTAAGTATGACTGTGGCACGTAGAGCCTCCTAACTCCAGAGCTATAAGAGGTTTATTCCTGATATTTGAGATTCTAGGTAAACAAGGGGTTTTTATTAACTATATTATTTTATTAACTATACAATTGTGAAAATTTAATACTTTTTGAGTAATGGGTTCGATAGTGGCTCGAACTGGTTATTGTAAATATACGGGTACACATTGCCGATGCGTCGCCCTTTTATTTTCTGAATGTAGCTGATGCAATTTGAAACATCACATACCTAAACAGATATCATCATAATATCATATTCTTAAAAAATTAACACGGTAAAACGAAGAATTAGGAGTTATTTCATGGTTCAACTATGGAACAAAAACCAAAAATAATATAAATAAAATTTAAAATGATTTATTTGGTTTAGGTATAAATATAACAATAAATAAGAATTATGTAACATAAAACAGAAAAATTGTGTAATCCATTTAAAGAAACCATAATTTTTGTTTATTTATTAAACTATTTAAAAAGTAAGAAATTAATACAAAAGATAAACTTAAATTATAAAGTGTAAAATCACAGTTATGCTTGTTCTTCTTGTTCCTTTTGTTCACTTTGTTCCTTTTGTTCACTTTGTTCCTTGTCTTCCTTATGTTCAGGTACAATATGATGAGTCTGGTGTTTGACATCAGCGTGGAAGCTGAATTCAACAAAATATTTTTAATTAAAACCAATATATAAACCTTAACGACTTTAGGTACGTAACTATATAAGTTTATAAAAACATTTTTTTTTAATTTCTATTACTGGCTGGTACCTGGCGCGGTACTGCCGCAGAAAACATAATTGTGGAAATAGTAAAGTTATTAACTAACTAACTAATATAAACACTAGTAAAGTTATTGCTTGCCTAGTGCGCGAAGGCTATAGGCACTATGCCTATAACTTGCAATAACTTGACAAAGTTTTACCGCAAAGATATGGCAGCGCATAAAATACGAATAAAGACACATTAATTTTTATATATTATTGATAATTAAGATAATCAAAGGCAAACAAGCAGTTATTTATTAATTACCCGCTGTGGTCATCTCCGTGATATTCTACAATCCTGATGGAACCGTCTGGTTCCTGTAATGAATATCTGCCCTTGACAACATCACCATCACGACTCTCTTCTTGAGACTTGATATCGCCAGTATGGTGGTCTTCTACTTTGTACTCGAAGTTAAATTTTGGATGGGCCTAAAAAAATTAAAATTAAAATATTTTTTATTAGTGTTTAATAAACTTCATAAAACGAGTTTCATTCTCTTTCTTTCTTCTTTTTCGTTAGATAAGAAGGGATGACACACAAATTTTAAGTTCATAAAATAGTACCATTTAGTGGCGATATAAGAATACGCACTAACCCGTATCAACCCGTGGGCGTCGCAAAAGGCGACAGAGAAAAAAACAATCAAGAGATGGGCAGCAGCGTCTTCCCAGTAGCAGTTGCCAACCCGCTTGCCAAAAGTGGCAATTATAGCATGGCTATGGGGTAAGCTGTAACGGCAACGGTAATATGGTAGATGATGATGATGATTATGGATATCGATATCTATCCTCGATTGAAACCTAAATGCACATGCGATGTTATCACTTAAAATTGAGATGGTATGCCTTGTTCTATATGCTGAGGGTGTTTACACAATGTGTGTTTAGACAATTCAACGGTATTACCATTTAACGCTGGTATTCGGTGCGAGCGTGAGCAATCTCGGATTGATAGACACTCGTTCGGCAGCCATAATGCAGTTGCATAGTGTCACAACCATTTTAAAAACAATTGTTCACTAATAAACCCCGGAAAATCCACTGCAGGTCATAAGCCTTTCTCATAGCAGAGAGGTTTTGTAATTCGCTAACTTAGGGAACTGTACAGTGATCATACATTACGACATGTCCATTTGATAAGCTTATATTCATATTCGGTTTTAACATCATTTCTACAAGACCTTTCATTCATTTTATGTGACACCCTTCGATTGTGATGGGAGTAGTAGATTGTTACATTGCTACTGGCGTAATTCACTTTTTTTTACAACTCTAAACCATCACTTGACTGCTATACCATCTAATGGTAAGTGGCGATGCAGCCGTAGATGGTGAAGCGCACTATACACTGACTGAACCAAAGCCTGAATAGGCTTTCTTCACCTTGCCTTGAATACATTGTAATCAGATCAAAAGAAAGATGCTAACAACTTATTCTTTTCACTGCTTTACGCATGACGAACGATGAAGCAGTTGAACGATAAAGCAATGTGTGTCATCAAAAAAAAAAACATCAAACTTACGTAATAGTCAACGTGATGCTCATGATTTTCGTCACCTTTGACGTTCACTTTTTCTGCAGGTCCATCTTCACGTGAAACTTGTTGGCTTGAATAAGCATAACCGTGTCCTTCTGCAACTGCGATAGCCACGAGCACAATGAGGCACAGCACCTGTATAAAAGCACCAATATAACAATAACAAAGCACGTTGGATTTTTTTGTCCTTCTGTATAATTTCTTTATGTTTTATATCCTTATGCAATCCGTATTCAAACCACCAGAAAAATTACTATTTTAATTATTTATCACAAATTTGACGAGGCTTTTACGTTTTGAATTTAGTAAAATTCCGTCGAACGAATTCACTAGTTATAACGCACTTTAATTTTCACTCATTTCATAAAAAAATTAATATTACTAAAATCAATGAAAAGCCAATTAATATACCTTTGCGATCATTTTTATATTTTAATATTTTATGTTTCTGTTAGTTACTTGGTTCAGAAGAAAACTGATAAGGATAAGCAAAATGTATATGCTTTTATATTGGCAATAAGGGTGGGAAATCGAAGCAACGGATTTCACTATAAGTGGTGAATGATAATGGGCGCATAAAATTATTTGCCGGTTATTATGAACTGTATTTGTAATGATTTCATAAAATTGAATCGCTAATATGACCAGCCTCTACAGTGCAACATAGTTTGGTTTTATACTTTGTAGTTTTTCAGAGTTAAATAAAATAATATAAGCAAATTGCGACAAGCTAGTCTCTCAAATTTACGAAAATACATAATTAAATTTCGTACCGAAATTTTAAGCTGCATTTTTTTTTCGAAATAAAAAACATTTAAAGTTATATGATATGATTAAAATTGAAGTGTAAAGTGTAAAATTGACCTAAGAGGCTAAGGGTCCGATCAAAAAGACGTGGTAGCTCAGATGCTAAGAACTTGCTGCGAGTAACTTAGAACGCGAGTATTAAATATATAATTTCTTCAGCCTCTCTGTCTTTCTATATATCCAAGCTAATACCTAATAGAACCGATAGTAATTACCTTGACGATCAAATTGAGAGTAATTCTAGGGTAGTCTAGGATATAATTATCGGAAAATCTTGGAGATTTTTTTTAGTTCAAAACTTTATAAAATAAATGATATTTGATGATTATCCCAAATCTAGATAAAGCTAACGCTATTTATGGATCCTAACTAAGCAAATCAATTAAAATATATTTATGATATGGCATACATTATTGAGTACTTGATTTGGGTTCTACCTAAAACACCATGCTGTGAAATTACTTGTTGGTTTAGTTTGAAAAAGAGATAGAGTAATTTATCTGACTTTAATTATAATAGGAAACTTATTGCAATTTTATTATACTTCATTTTATTATACTTCTATCAATTAATCAACATAATCGGTTTCCCAACTTCGAAATAGTTCATTAAAAGGGAAAATAAAGATACACTACAATACAACCAATATTATTTATTTACATAACATGTAATTTTACAATATTTATTACCTAGAATAAATTAAAACCAAAAACATATATATATATATATATATATATATATATATATATATATATATATATATATTTTTATCATCCTTTCTCGGTAAATATTGATCCAGTGAGAAGTTAGAACAATTGTTGATCCACCTATTTGACGTGTTTGCTCAGCTCCTCGTCGCACAAACTGATATACTTTGATCATCCTTGATGCGCGTGTGATGTCGGTGGATCTGCACTAACAGGTTTTCAATATACTCGTCAGCGATTTGACCAACATTTGTTGATCTATCAACGGTCGAAAAAATCATACTGAATATGATTTTTTAGATCCAGAGTATATTTAATTTATATGCGAAATTTACTTAGACTAAGTGGATCCGGAGCCATAATTGACGAATAGGTACTCGAACACGAAGCGGCAACGTCGCGTTCTGTGTGTGACAGAGAACCCAGTATGCTACTTCGTTATAGTAATAAGGTAAGAAAATGCGTTATCTGCTGATTTTGTGGATCAAACTTTGGCAGGTTTTATTGTGGAAAGACGTTTGTTCGAGTTTTTGTTATCGTGTGAGTGAATTTGTGTTATTTTGTTATTTTGTTCATTTGTCATATATCAATTAGAAGATGATGGATAGTACTTTATTACAAATTAATTTATCACTCGAGTATGTGTGTAAGGGTGGGGGGTGCCATTTAGTGCACGTGCGTGTGTTTAAGTGTGTGTGTGTGTGTGTGTGTGTGTGTGTGTGTGTGTGTTGTGTGTGTTTTATGCGTGTTTGTGTGTGCGCGTGCGTGTGGGTGTATGTGCGTTCATGTGTGTTTGTGTGAACGCATGTGCGTGCGCGTGTATGTGAGTGTATGAGTGCGTGTGGGTACTGTTGCGTTTTTTTTAAGTACAAATGTGTGCAGCAGTGTGCGTGTGTTTGTGCGGTTGTCTGCTTGTGTGTGTGTTTTTTCTGAATATCAGCTTGGCTACCTATTGGTACTAGAGACAATGTGAAAAGAACTTTTGTTTTGTGACGGTTTCATCATAACTAACAAAACAAATCCAAACTCGGCATACCTAGTTCTACTAGTTCAGGTATTACAGTATTAGTTACCGAAGAACACCTTCAGGTCACTTCAGCAAGTCCGGAGGTAAGGACTCATCATAACTAACAAAAAGAAATCAAACTACCACACACACTACCCAGTTCTACTAGTCCAAGAGTTCCAGTAGTAATTCCGAATTACATTTTGAGGTCACTCCATCAAGACCGGAGGTAAGGTCTCATGATAATATCTCATGTAATAGTTCGATTCTTTACCTATCAATTTTGTAAACGCGTCCTTAAAAATCTTGATTATGACGATGTAGACAACATGTCATCTGGTTTATGGTAAACACACACACACACACACACACACAACACGCAAGCGCGCGCAAACATGCACACATGCGCACACGCACAAACTCATACACACACTCACACACGCACACTGCCGCACACACACATGCACACACACATAGACACAACAGTGGACACACGCACACATTCACACACGCACACATGCACCCATGCGCACACTCACACGCATACACATACACACGTACTTATGTGTACACGCACACATATGCACACGCACACACAAGCGGACATGGAGACAATGTGAAAAGAAAAGAGAACACACACACACACACACACACACATACGCGCGCGCAAACACAAGCAGACAACTGCACAAACACACGCGCACTGCCGCACTTACACGTACTCAAAAAAAACATAGTGCACACACGCACACATACACTCACACACACGCGCACGCACATGCGTTCACACGAACATACATGAACGCACATACACCCATACGCACGCGCACACACAAACTCACACACCCACGTGCGCAAGCACAAGCTCACACCCGCGCGTACACACACACACACTAACGCACGCGCGCGCGCACACACACATACACACACGAATACCGTATGTCGCCGTTGCCGCCACTTCCGCTACAAGAAGGAGCGTTGTCGAGTTATTCGTTAAAAAAAGTCGTTTATTTCGACCACAAGGATCATAGATGTTAGTAATAATACAAATCTTAAAACTAATTTTAGTAAAACTTAAAACTATTTAATTAATTTTAAAACTATATCTAAGATAGGCCCGATTAGTCAGCACGTGCACCATATGACAATGGTTCAGGTACTGACCTCAAACCTGTCAGAAAATGCCCTCAGGATAGCATTGGAACTGGCCCGCACCCTGCGCACCAGAGATGTGCATCGTTTACGCATGATGGTGTAGAAACAACCCACACGCGCATCCGCTAACATACCCGGCGCATTACAAAAACGAGGCAGACCCAACAGCACCCAGAATGCATTATTGTATTGAACAGCATTAAATCTGTAGCTTGTACCGCCAAAGATACGAAACGGCAACGTCGCGACTGCTTTCAGCCAATACGATCGTTTATCTTATCGTTTGCTGTGCTCTGTGGCTCATTTAAATCGGATCAACATTTTCCGTAACCATCTCAAGGTGGATTTGTATATCGGTTCAACTTCGGCAAACGCTAGCAAACAGTCTCGTGAGTGCAGATTTTGATCCGGTCGGAGCCACATTAGTTACCAGAGATGCATATTGGATCAACATTTACCGTAAAGAGATCTCTCTCTCTCTCTCTCTCTCTCTCTCTATATCATATATATATTATTATATATATATATATATATATATCCCGCGATACGGTGGCAAGATCGCTGGCTGCATTTACTCGCTGAATGGCTAATCTAGTCTTTGAGCGAGAAATAATCCAGCCCTCTTATTACCAACAGCGACGATAAGCCATCTATATTATAGCCTATAAAAGTTCGCTGTGGAATATAAGCCTTCCGCATAGATTGCATCAAAGGGTTCATTTGCCATAGTTGCTACGCTTGGCAAGCAGGTCAACAGTTTTTATTGTTTTTTTTTTTTGTAGAATAATGGTGAAAAATGAGCACACAGTTCACCTGATGGTAAGTGGATGCTGTGGAACATAGACGTCTAAATTTATCCTCGATTGAGAATCAAAACGCAGATGCGTTGTCACTTCTGAAGACTAAGATAGAATGCCTCGTTTCCATTAAAAAAGGATCTCCGGATCTTTACTTTATATTACTTGCCATACGAAACACAACAGTATTAAGCTGCTATTTTACGCTGGTATTCTGTGAGAGCGTGGTCCTTCCCCGGTCGAGCCGACCCATTCGTGCTCTAACCATAATATATGAAATATTGTTTTGAGTTATCAGGAAGATGCTTCTACTCATCTTATGTTTCAGTTTTGTGGATATTCTCTCACCGTCACCACTCAGTTAACTATTGGCACGTACAAAAAAAAATATTTTTGTACCATTTTCATTTTACTTATCAAGTTTAATGTCTATACGATGGCACTTAAATGCAATTATTGTTTTACTTAAACTTATAATTATACGGATTTCGTAGTTTAAGATCATTACAACGATTACCCTGATTATCCTTCAATGAACAAACTGTAAATAGTACCTAGAAATCGTGATTAAAATTCGTGAAACGAACGTTTTCGTATTATCTGTTTTTGTCTAAATGTTTTAAGGCATTTACGATCATGTGCGTAATAGAATATAATACGAGTAGTATTAATTACAGTAATATTCCTTTCACGTATGCTGATGCTTTCGCTTTGTTAATGTATACGCTCTTTTTAAATTTATAGATATATTTATACTAAATACATTTGTTTAAATCTTTATTTCATATTCGTATAGCTTAAAGGATATTAATTATTATAGTTCATCACAAAAGCCGTCAAAAAGCTGTGCCGAAAAACTAATCGTGTGGTAGCTCAGGTAGTGAGAGGCTAAGCTCTTGCTGCGAATAATTTACAACGCTAACAACCCGGGTTTGATTCCCACGGTCTCCAATGAAAATGTTAATTGCAATTCTAAATGCTGATTTAACACTTGATTGGTGGTACAGGAAAACATCGTAAGGAAACCTACACGTTTACAAAATTAATTAATATTTAACATAATATTATTATTAAATACTTAAATATTTCAAGGATAGGTGGTCTTTAACCCAATAAAACTACATAAAGAAAATAATAAAGTACAAAAATATTTTTATATTCCTTGATAAAATACAAATAAAAAGGTCTTATGACTTTTTATGAGAAAGTAAATATTTTCAGAGTTATGCATTTCTAAAGATTTGAATAATCCCAAATTCTCATACTTTTGACCCATTAAAACTACATAAAATTTTTTTTAATATAAAATATACTTTTTTATATTCTTTGACGAAATACGAATACGATAAATAATGATTTCCTATATTTACGCGAACACTACACATTGATTAAAACTACTTTTACGAAATTTATCGCGTTTAATTTAGTTGACCTTTAATTTCCAACGTTCCGGGTGCTTTCCATCACCCATGGTCACGGATGACTGAGGTGACTAACGTCACGATATCAGTATTAACCCGGAGAACCCTCAGCTTCTTATGCATTAATTATGGTCAAATCTACGCAGAATGAATTTACTGTGTCTTGAAGTCTTGCAGCGGTATGCTTGGGTTAAGTTTTAATTTTATTAATTATAGTGATAGTACCCAGCCACCTTCTCTATTGAAATAAGGATGTTTTTTAATTTCAATAGCGTCACGTATTATCCTTGGTAGAAATCGGTGTACTTTTGCGTGGATTTGTGGTTTATCAAATCTGATGTAATGGCGGGGGTCATCTAGTATATGATCACAAACTGCACACTTTTCGGAACGTTGATGCTTCACATCAGCTATATGGTCTTTTACGCGAGTTCTAATTGATATTTTTGTTTGCCCTATATACGAGAGACCACACACCAGACATTCTTGATTGTGAAAGCTTGTACACTCCTGCATTTGTAGAGGGCTATGACACTTGATGGGTGGTAAGAACTGACTAATCTTCCTTGGCGACTTTTAGAATGTTCTAATAGAAGCTTAATTGAAGATGTAGTCAATCTTGTCTGTGACACCTCTGACATATGGTAGTACAGCAGACACACCGTCGACTGTGGCCGGCTTCAGTCGGTAACTGTGACGTAGGTGCGGGATCCGAAGATTGTTGTCGTGCAGAACCTGTTGATGTACCGCTGGGTGGTCAGGTACTTGCTAACACAGATTCATCGTGCTCTCTGTAACAAAGATTTCCACGGTAGCTAACTGTGATGGATGATGGTCAGATTCGCCGTTTACATATCGATTTGTATGGGTCTTTTTTCTATACACAGTGTGACCTATTGTCTGGTTAAGATTTCGGATGACTAACACATCTAAAAAGGCTAAAGGATTGTTTGCCTCTAACACCTTAGCAAATTGAATTTTAGAGTTTATGGAATTAAGATGTTCTAAAAATGCAGCTACTTTGTCTGATGGTAAAATTGTCTGCGTACCGCTTGTAGAACCTTTGAGTTACAGGTGCAGTAAGGAGAGCTTTCTCATCAAAGTCTTCCATGAACATGTCGGCGACAAAATAAGATACAGATGAGCCCGGCAACACTATCTACTTGCATGTAAAACTCTTCCTTCCACAATAGATAGCTAGATATAAGGCAATGTCAGAGTATTACTGCATATTCTGCCAAACGCACAAGAATCATGTTTAAAAATATGTCATCTATAAAAACGTCCACAAGAAACTCAAATAAAAAAAGGTTAGAAATCTTTGGTAATAAAACAAAAACTAATGTGGTTCATGGTTAAGTGTAACAGAAATAATCGACAAACTTAACACGAATAAACAGCAAAAAGACCAAAGGGCATTGACATTGTTTTGAGGTTACTTTCATCATCACAGTCATTTAAGTTAAATTTACTGTAAATAAAAACAGTTTTTCTTTAAAGTATACATAAAATTAAATAAATAAAAACACTTTTTATATTAAATTAATCGTTTAGGTACTTAAACCTCTAATTGGTTAATATGTCCCAAATGTTTAAATAAAGCGCAAAAAATAAATAATTGATTGCTTACAATAATGTAGCCATACATGATTGGTGCATAGCTATGTTATGATAGTAGCATAAATAAGTCGGCTCGTCCGAGAAGAACCAAATTTTCAGCGAATACCAGCATAAAAAAAGCATCTAATGCTGCTGTTTTTCGTATGATGGGTGTAGAGAACCACGTAACCCTTTTTACTTAAGGTGATATCGTATCTGCATTATGATTCTTATTCGAGGATGGGAATGTAGATGTCTGTGGGCCACATCATATACTTACCATCAGGTGAACTGTGTGCTCTTTGGCACTTTTTTTTTAAATATAAACGACTATGTTATGATGTTGGCATAAAATAAGTATAACATATGAATTGACAAAGTCATGCGACCTAAAATAATATGAATCTCGACGCATTATGATGCTTAGTCTAACATTTAAAAGCTATTATTAAGTTCATTCAAAATTACATTTTAAATCCAAAATATTCATTTTATTCAGTTATTATGATTATTTCTTAATAACTATTACTAGTTGTAATAAAAAAACTTAATAGAATAAAAATACATAAATAAAACAAAAAATGGTAGAAACGTAATCATTTATTAAAGACAACCCTTCTTACATGAATCATCCGTGTCATATTTTTATTGCTAAACAGACGTATTTATTCATAGTTGTTTATGTGTACTCATTATATATGTATTTATGTATGTGTATATTTGTATATATTTAAGTATAGGTTATATTTGTATAGTTTATTTATACGTTTAATGTGTATACGTAGTTAATTAACTCTTTAATTTTGTTTTTTATTCTATATTGCTACACCTACGTCAAATTATCACCACTCCATCGATTGACTAGTAGAGAATACCTCAAGCCATCAATTTGACCTTTTTTATTCTTTTATTTTAAGAAATGAAGCAAGTTTGTATATTTGGGATGCGTATTTAGCAGGGATTGGAGATATGAGAGTAAATGGGGCTCTACACTATATTGTGGAAAGTCAGAATGTGTCAAAAAGGCACGTATGGCAATTCACAATCTTGTGTTAGTTCCTACTTTAACGTATGGTAGTGAAAGTTGGGTGTGGCAGAAGAAGCACGAGAGTAGATTAAAAACAGTAGAAATGCGGTCGTTAAGGAGTATGTTAGGGCTGAATCTGAGTGATAGGGTGAGAAATTGTGTGATAAGAGAAGAGTGTGGTGTGCAAGATGATATTGTGACGAGGATTAGGAAAGGAATGCCTCAGTGGTTTATACATGGCCATAAAGAACTAATGAGGAAAGTGTGACAAAGCTAATTTATGTTGCAGAAGTGAACGGCAGAGTCGGAAAGGGACGTCCTAGGCGAAAGTTTGTCGACCAAATTGGCGATATAATAAAAACTGGCCAAATTAAGAGCACCCTTAACTGACGAGCATGTATGCGTAGGTTTATGGATGTGGAGGATGCGAGAGAGGTGTGTCAGGGTCGTGCGAAATGGAAGTCTCTAGTCTCAGCCTATCCCTCTGGGTGACGGGCGTGAGTGTTTATGTATGTAAATGAATTAAGAATAAATAAATAAATAAACATTCATTCATCATTCGATTAAAATCTACTTGTTTCGAAATCTGTATCTAACATGTTGAGCTCGCACGGATATCAACACTACATCTTCTGCATTTTATTTGCTTATATGAACGGAATCAATTATATGTTCTAAACCAGTGAAATTGCAGTTGCGTTACCGACCGTTTAAAAAACGTTTTAAAAGTCCTAAAGTTAAAGTTTAAATCATTTTGTTTGGTTTAAAACGTTGCAACTAATAAGAAATTTCTCCATTAAAATGTTTAAGAAAAAAAAACTAATTTATATAACATTTACTTAAACGTAAGATTATTTGTAATTTTAAAGAAATGGGATTATATATAAAATGTACCTTTATATGTTCACCGTTTATTGGAGACTTTCGATAATTTATTATCTCATATCATCCTGTGGGTGTCGTAAGAACGTTATACGGTGTGGACCGCGTTGCAACTATATTATGATTGTAGCACGAACAGGTCGGCTCGACCGGGGAAAGACCACGCTCTCAAAGAATACTATAATATACTCGTATGGTGAGTGAAGAGATCCGGAGACCCTTTTTTATTGGAAATGACCATCAGGGGTGATAACGCATCTGCATTTTGATTTGTAATCGAGGATAGATGTAGATGTCTATGGGTCACAGCAACCACTTACCATCAGGTGGACTGTGTGCTCGTTTGTCACCCTAATTACTAGGATTTCGTTACTTTTTTCATTATCTTTTTATTACTATTTCTAATGTTTGATCACCTTTCTAGTGAATTGGCATTGCAGTGGATTCTATTATATATTCACTATTCGGTGAATTCAGATTACTTAGAATAATAATTTAAAATTTAAATGTTAACCAAAAACGACTAATCCCAAAACATGTCTAATTGTTCAATTGATCAATTAATATTCTTAGAGCATACAGTAGAACAATTTTCTAAATAAGTTTATATTAGAGAAAACGCAAGCACATGCCTAGAATATGAAATGTCCAGTCAAGTTGAAACTTCATTAAAGTTGTGAAAAGACTTTAATAAGTCCAGAAAAAAAAACAAGAAAATATATTAATTTATATTTATACTAGACGTCTCTTATTTCTTATATATTTATTCACAAATTTTAGATTAACGAAGTTATTCAAAATACAAAAACGCATTGGAATTATATCAACCTTCACATTGGTTACATAAATTACGTCATGCAAACGAAGCACGTGCCGTGAGTTAGAAGTTCGACGCCACAGGCGGTATCAGATTGATACATTTCTCTCTCGTAACGTCTCCGCTATATATTGGGTATTAAGGCTATGCTAATTCATCAGTTTCACTGCGGAAGTCAAACAAGAAGGATCAACATGTTTGCTAAAGTTTGTATTTAAACAATATCCGTTTAATACCATGAGATTTTTTCTTTATATCGAATTATGATTTCTATTAATATTAATAATTTTGCAGATATTTCTACTCACATTCGTTGTATCGACCATTACCTGCCAGGAATACAAATATAAAATAAAACCGATCATTCATCATGAACAACCTAAGGAATACAGGTATTATCAAACGGAACGTGTTCCTTACTACCCTCAGGAACCTGCACCAATTCATGAAGATGAAAATCAAGCTCAACCTGAAAACCAGTACCGTCATGAAAACGGACATGCGATATCAACACAAAGCATAATTCATCAACAGCCTCAGTCTAGCCAAGAGTCCCAAGAAACCTACACGGAATTTACACCGGAATCCGTGAACTATAAGCAATATTTCCAAAGCCAGAAATACTTTAATCATCAGCCTGCTCAGCATCAACCAACAGTCCAAGCCTTACACTACCCAGGAAGTCTTCAACGGCTTCATGCTTATCAAGCACCAGTACGCCAGGAACCCCAGACTCATTACATTCCATCTCCTCATTACGCACCAAAAATACATCAGTCTCCAGTGTACCACAAAGCTGAAGCCCAAAGTCACGATTCGCACGAAGACCTCGTAGATTATTATGTAAGTACATCGCCCATGTCTGTCTAATATAAATCGCTAATTTGTTCACGGACATCCGGCTCCCGTTTTATAGGCACTTTCTACTATTTTATTTGCATCACACTTTAACCATTTAAATCACGAACTAGATCATCTAACGAATGAGAATAAATATATTACGTAAATTGTAATGTCCGAGTCATTCTATTTAATGATGATATGGTTTTTAGGCTTACCCGAAATACCAGTACGAATACAAAGTTGAAGACCCTCACACCGGAGACAACAAATTCCAGCATGAAATTCGTGATGGCGATAACGTTAAAGGTGTATACTCGTTGCAAGAAGCCGATGGTTCTATCAGAACTGTTGAATATAGCTCCGACAAACACCACGGGTAATTGTTAACTAAATTAATCTCTCATCTAAATGTGTTACTGAAATATAATTTTGTGATAGTAACGTACATTAAATTAATTTTTAAACTTTCAGATTCAGTGCTGTAGTTAAGCATTCGGCGCCTGGCCGTCACGCTCAGATCGAAAGTCATGAAAATTAATCATAATACTTTTAATTTAATTTAAAATTGTTAAGTTATAACTTTGTTACTAGATGTGTAATAATGAATAATTAGTGTAAATTATTTTGAATATTTTCAATATAGAGTTTAATCAGTCGAATTATTTTATTAAAAAATTCATACCTTACTAGCTTTTGCACTTGGTTAAGCCCGCGTATTATTCCAAAATAATATTTTTGTAGTACACTGAATTTCATTATTTAAAGAAATATATTCAGTCGTTTGTCCTCGAAGAGTTAATTACACGACTAAGCTCAACCTACAGGAACCGTGCGTTTTCCGGGATAAAGTTGATAGCCGATGTCATTCTTCGGCCCCTATAGGTTACTCATGTCGACCTTTTACTCCGGAATCCTTTCAGATTGATTGAAGTAAAAATGACATAGCTATTTTGACTTCATTATAATAATGAATAATTTTATTGGATGCGAAATCTTTATTGAGAACATCGTAGCACATATTTGCTCAAAAAATGTACAATTCAATGTCAAGTAGAGGGTTTTAGATTTTCAATTAAGCTCAATCCTACATCAACACGCAAATTATCGGTTTCTAGATTTTTTCGTAATATGAAATTGACAATAGTATGTGTTAAACCTATAGTAAGTGGCTACTGTTAGACAGTGGACACCTAATTCAAATAAAGAAGGCCAGAAATACGTTGCCACCTCTTGAGAACTAAGATGAAATGCCTTGCAGTCTAAAATTTATTGACTGTCTTATTCTTCAAACCGAAACATAGCAGTGGGTGTCACTGGTTGGTTTTTTGAAAGAATGGGATTGAAAATGCCGTCGCCTCTATTTACCTCTCGCTCGCACAATGTCGCTATCTACACTCACACCCGCTGGTAAAGACTGCAAAAAAAATACGTTGCGATATGCGGTTTTTAATACGTTCTATAAATTCAGTCCAACTTATTGAAATCAATGATAACAAAATCCCATTGACTACAAAACAAAATCATTCTGCTTTTGCCAAATTGTGAGCTACTGAGAGTTTTCTTCATAATTATTGTAGATTTTATATGTTAATTTCTTGTATAAAATATTAACATGCGTGATTTAGACTAAATTTTATTAGAAAGATTTAGATTTTTTAAAATATAAATATTGGTAAGATAAAATACATGGTCTTTAATGATTATCTTTAGTCTAAAAACACCACATTAATAGATCCCATCGAGGAGAAGGCAAGGTGAAAGGCAGAATTTCATTTTAAAATTAATATATCTACTCGTGTATATACTTACTTTCAAATATTTTCCCATCGATAGAAAATTTGCAATTAACCGAATGATATAACGATATACCGTTGTTAGCGAGTTTTCGCTATCGGTAATGTGTTCATTGTACAAATAAGATTTTCACTATAGTTAAATATTAGCATAACGTTTAACTAAAAAACTATTTTTAATTTTAATATTGAAATTATGAAATTAAATTTTCCGCGAAAAATTTAATTTCATAATTTTAAATACTTGTATTATCGTAGGATAGGATAGGAGTGGGATTTTTTACTTTATTATAGTAGCTAGCACTTTACTAAAACAATAAACACTAACACCTAAAGCCAATTATTACTTGTAGAACATTTATATACTAGTTCCAATGGGGGAATCGTAACCCTGGCCTGAAAAGTCGCAACTAAACTAATAGCTGCTTCACTATTGAATCCTTAAGAAAATAGGGGTGTAATAAAAGTCTTTAAATTATGAAAGTAACAATATATTAATTTCCATTTTAGCAGCAAAATAAAGAAGTCTTCGAACAGCACCAAAGCAGGCATTACAGTCAACGTTTCATAAAATGTATTCAATACTAACAATACTTTTATATTAAAGTAAAGACACATGCGGGATACTTAGATACTACATGAAAATATAATACAAAAGCGAGATTTGTTTGAATCAAAACAGATACTGATGGCAAAAATGTCTTAATTTGTAGGCATTAAAGTCCCGGAATCGATACACCTTATGAAACGCGTAGCCTCAAAGTATACCAATGCTCACAATGCGTAACAATGAGCAGCCCGTTTTTTAACCATAACCGGTAGTTTCCTTGCAACAGCTTATACTAAGTACATTACACGCAAGTTATAACTAATTGACGTTGTAAGAGAAGGGATTGTATCTGGCCTCTAGCCGAGAAGATGACCATGTCCAAGAGCTGGAGCAGCTAATAAGGTCTTAACCACACGAGCTGCAGCAGGATGGGCTGCATGTCCTTGTCTATTCACCACAGCGTTGAACCTAAAGAAAAACGAAAGTTATTTAAGTAAAATATTTATTCATTGCATCAAAACGTCTGGTACTGAGAACGCTTAGTGACAACTTTGTATAATAGTCCGCTAGCCGAGCGTGACGATAATTATATAAATTCTATCCAAAATATGAAAGGGTCATGTTGAGCATTGTAATTTTACTTGATGAAAAATAGACTTTTAAACATATTATAGGCTAGTGTGCGCCTTAGTGCTTAAATTGCACGTTCCAGATTTGAAATACCAGCAAGATTATTTTCGCAAATATAGAAATTCTTGGTTTTCTGATCATTACAACTAAATACAAGCTGGGTCAAATGACAAGCTACTAATTGTTTGTGACTCTTATATTAGGCAACAGAAAATCACAAAAGCCTTCTTTATAACGGCACTTAGAAATAAGAAGAAGGCCGTTCCTACTCTTCTAGTGGCTTAATTAGTTTTATTAAACGTTTTTGGAAGTGGAAAAATAAAAAAAAAACATTAAGCACTAAAAGAAAAGTAATAAAAATATTTGTTTTCCATATGTAGTAATAATGTCCTCGAGACCAAATTTCGGTCACGGCGGCCTGCCTCAACGGAGACTAGCCATGGCGCCGGACAGGATTATAGTGTCCAAGTGTATGCGCAAGCACAGATGCACTCTCTACTCCCTCACTCTCATAATCCGATGGGACAGTAAACCGACACGACCGGAGAGAGATCGCGCGCAAGACCAACGGTTTCACGTGCTTTCCGAAACACGGGGGTGAGACACCGCCAACTTTCTGACTCCGGGCAGCTACTGAGAATGTCTTTACGGTAAAACTCAATAATTCATTTTTTGTCCCGTTTTTTTTGCATTCGAACCCAGAATCTCATGACCAGCAGTCGCACTTCTACAAGTACTAAACCAACGAAGCAGTCAAATTTCGATATGTAAGACACGTATGACATTTAAATTTCATCTGTCAAACTTAATCTACTACTATTTCGAAATGAGTTTCCACTGACCAGCGAAGAAAAGACAGGAAAAGTCTCCTTTTTTGACTCAATAACAATATTCAAATTAAATGCCCAAAAAGCTGAGGTATAAGAATGATATAGCACTGAGGGTTCCGCGGAGCATGTAATAGCAACGAGTTGCAGCGTTAAGGGCCTCGGGTTCGAATACCTCTTGGAACAAATATTTGTATGATCTACAAATAATTGTTCCAGGTCTGGATATTTGTTTTGTTAAATTTATCTTTATAAACTGCCTTCAATGTAAAGGAGTAAATCCCATTGTAGGGATAAGTTTTATTAAAAAAACTTTTCTCCAAATGTCAAATTCATCTGCACGAGATACTTCAACCTGCTAATTATCAAACTATGTTAAACTATATTATAATTACAAAAAAAAAGACGTGTGGCACTCGGGGACTGCCGCGGTAAAGCTATTGCAAAGCATTTTGTATCAAATTATGCAATTATAATTATTAATATAAGGACTACGTAAATATTCAGTACAGCAAGATTGGAAGAAAAATGACTTCTAAATATTTTTTCGTATTTAGTAAACGTATAAATATATATCTTTTTTTTTCGCCGGAGACTAAAATGATATTGCTTTTTTTCGTAACTGCAGATTCTGTGGATTTATTTCATTATTTTGAACAATATACGAAATTTAAGTGACTAAAATTAAATCTAATCTGAACTGTATTATTCGTTCTAAACGAATCTAATAAATATCTGTTATTTTTGTCTCCTGCGAAAAAAACAGACTATAGGACTCTATCGAATACCTACATAAACAAAATATCACATATAAATAAAATATTACAAAGCGGAATAACTAATAAGAGTGGCAACGTCGCACTATACAAAGGAATTGCGTAGGTGGCACAAGTCGCGGGCTCGAACTCATTGGTGGGCGCGGCCAAAAAAGCACGTTGTCTCAACTGGCATTCGTGCCACTCGTACTAAATTATTAGGCGCTGCGTTATCGCTTTATACTATACCTCTATGGCTCTATAGATACCTAATATAGATTGCTTATTTTATTATGTTTAGTTTTCCCCGGGTGGTCATGCAGCGATCACTCAAGAGTTCACGATGCCTAAGTATGAACTGGAACAGTCATCGCAGTTTATATCCGTACCAGCTGTTGCCAGCGGCTTCAATCGCGTGAACTCGAAAATTATCCCACAGGAACGAAATACCTGAATAAACGGTATCAAATGTGTTATTCCAGACTAGGTATAACCTATCTCTGAGCTAAATATCATCCAGATCCCTTCAGCTGTTCTGGCGTGATTGAGTAACATACATCTATCCATCCAAACTTTCGCATTTATAATATTTAGATAATAATTGTAATTAGTTCTGCCTACCTATAAATTGTTTTCAAAAATACTTACCTGTGTTCACCTGTGTTTACCTGTGTTTACCTGTGTGTAAAAATTCGGATCAATAATTCTATTACACATAAACCAAAATGGATAAGCAACGGCTTGAAAACCAGCTGTAAAACAAAGCGGTTATTACGTTTCAGATACTATAAAAGTAAAACGGAAAAAAATAAAAATGAATATTTAACGTACTCCAAAATTTTAAGAAAATGCATTGACAATTCAAAAAAGAATTCTAATATGAAATTTATTACTAATAGTAAAAATAAATGTAAAGCGACATGGACAATAATAAAAAATGAAACCTGTTATTCCAAAGTAGATAATAACATTTCCGAAATAAA